GCCAAGGGGTTTTGAGAAACTGCCAAAGTGGAGAAATTTGGCCATCAAACCATGGATCTAAATTGCCTTTCTGTTTATGAAGAATGAGTACACTGGGTTGTCAAAAAGGCCAAATTGCAACTCTGGCCACTTTTGATATTCTGGGCATGCATTAGCCTTTTTCTCGAGCAGGGTTGCCTTGATTTGAAATCTAGCATAATTTTCAGTTTCCAAATGCTAAATTCCTGTTAAACAATCTTTGAATATGTTGTTAAAACAAAAATAAACTTAATATCTCTTTTAAACTAAAAGTTATTGATGATACTTTGTACAGCGGTTTCCGTGCGAATCGTCAGAGCGAATCGTCAGAATCGTCAGACCTATATAATTCAATTATAAATTTGGTAAAAGTAAGGATTGATTTCGTTCACTTCTCTTTCGAATATCAATGTGAAATTTGGTGAGTGGCCTTATATTGCATTCAAATTGGTGAATTGATGTTAATATTGGAAAAATAAGCAGTTATTCGCAAATTCTAAGCATTTATAGTCGCGGTGCTTGCTGTGGTGTTTTAGGTCTCGTCCAAATTCCAGAAAATGATGATTGATATGTTTTAAAACGGATCCAACAACAATGTTTAGCCACTCAATTCATTATTTTCTTAACACATTTGTACAAAGATGTGATTTAGTTACTTTTTCTTTCTTTGTTTACAGAAACTGCTATGAAATATCTAGGCCTAAGTCTAGAAAAAGCCGAAAATAGGACATAATTCAATGCTTTGATATAAATAACAGAATCTAAATAAAGTGACCAATTTTGATTTTATATAATTATTGATATTTTTGGACTATTTCAAAACCACACTCGTTGCTTGTAGTTAATGCGTCCCTCCCGGCATCTTTAGGCCTATAAAATACCTCAGGGGTACATTTTCATGACAAAGATCACTAATTTGGCCTTACCTATTATTTCTTTTCTACAAACTCAATCTGATAATCTAAATATAAAACATTCGCACTTTCCTACTCCTGCTATATTAGGTTATAACCGACAGACAGAAAAATTCAAGAATTATATTTAAAATCGTCTATATTATTAGAAAATAGACTGAAAAAGCTCTTTCTAATTTATATGAAGATAAAAATTGCAAGCACATACTTTTTCAACTCAAAAAAACACGACAGGCCACTACTATATCCCCCCCGTAACTGCATAAACTAAAAGAGCCATATTTTTAAAAATTCTGTTTAAAAACCCCAAAAAATTGTTATGTGTTGTTGATTAATATCTCCTCTAACTACCTGCATCAGAAAAGGCACTGAAATAGTTGTGAGTCACGAGAAAATCATTCAAACAATCTTTTGGTGGTACAAAACTTGTAAATGGCTTTGAAAAAAAACAAACATTTAGTAAACTAAAGCTTTTCGTCTGACACTCTTCAGAGTTTAAAACGTCAGAACATAGATCGAAAACTCTACGCTAAGAAATATATATACCCAGTTGTGGATCGAAATAGGCCAATCAGAAAAATGAGCACATGACTGTATAGGTTGACCAATCAGTGCCGCTTGCCTATTAGAATGTTACCAGTGGAGTCCTAAGGTGAAAACGAACTCCTTTTGTCTACATAGTAGCGGTTTTTTCGTGCTTATGTAGATAGATTCAAAAAATGCTAGGTGGAACGACGATCGGGCTTTACCAATAATCCGAAACATGTCGCCATTATAGTTTTTTGCACAATCTGGGTTTTCTAGTAAATAAATGCTGCCCGATAGCAGAATCGCAGCTTTTAGTTGTAATTTTAAATTTGCAAGACCGAGGTGGCTGTTCTCTTTGGGGATGGGTTTTGTTTCTAATATTAGATGGAACATGTTGTTTTATTCCATCCTCCAATCTTTGGGTGGTGCGTCCTACGTAGCCAGAATCACACTGGCACGTAAACTCATATATAACAGAACTTTTTTGTGTGGCAGGAACGCAGTCCTTTTAAATGGACGAAAAGGCCTTTTTCGTACTATAAACAACACGTGGGTTGACCGCAAAGAAACAATTTGTAATGGCCTGTTTTATTTGGCTTTCAAAACGTAGGGAGCTGTTGCCGATCCAGGGTAGTTTTAGATAGACCGGGCACTTTTGAGGACCAAATTTCACGTCAGCCGAGAAATTTCCTATCTTCTCCTTAGTGTAAACTGAAATAACATCTTCTGGATAGCCGTTCTCCAGAAAAATCTTAGTAAGTTTTTCAAGTTCCGAGTCGAGTTTAGACTTGGAACAAATCATCAGTGCCCTATGTGTAAGGGTTTTGATGAGGCTGATTTTTCTTTGTTTTGGGAAAAACGAACTCCATCGAGTGTATAATCCTGAAAATGTGGGTTTACGGTATACACTAGTGAGAAATCTAGTGTCAGATTTTTCAACCAAAACATCTAGAAATGGCAGGGAGTTATTTTCTTCCTTTTCAAATGTAAAATGTAGGGCTGTGTGAAGGCCATTAAGGCGTTTTACGAAAGTATCACACTCAGCCTCTGTTTTGAAAATAGTATGTGTCATCCACATACCGAAAATAAACACCTGGCTTTTGGTCATAGTCAAACAAACGCTCTTCATGAAAGCCAACAAAGATATTAGCCAAGGCAGGTCCCAGAGGGCTACCCATAGCCAGGGGCGCCTACACAAGTGGGGCTGGAGGGGCAGCTGCCCCTCCTGCCCTCTTCGAAGAGGGGCAGAGGGGGCAAGAAGTGCCCTGAAATATGATGACTACTGTGACTACTCTCGTTATGTTAATATATATTAGAAGATACTAGATAGTTGATAACACCAGCACAAAAATGCAGAGAATGAAAAGTTTGTCTGTGACAAGGTCGGTCACATAGGGAGAGCGGCAAAGATAGTAAATGACAAACAAAAGATGTGTTCCCTCAGAAGTACTCCAGGAACCTAAGGAGGATAAATCGGTATAAAAACTTAGCGGGCAATCAAAATTTTACAACTAGCCCATTTATAACAGCTATGATTTTTATAAAACCAAAACTTGTGAATAGTGAGTGGCAAAGCAATTTAATAACCATTTTCATTTATGGATAATTTCGTCAACATTTTCTTTGTGTTTAGAATCTTTGTTGGTAAAAAACCCAGCTGTATGGGTGGCACATATTCAAGTTAATATTTTATTATATTACCCCACCCTAGCCCCCCTCCCACCTAGGAATGCTCGATTATGTTAATAGAAAAATTCAATGATTTGCCTTCGGCACCAACACTGCCCCTCCTGCCCTAATCTTGTGCAGGCGTCCCTGCCCATAGCAACACCTTTTGTTGGTACATTTCAATGTTAAAGCTGAATTCAACTGAACGTGTTGCAGTTTCCACTAGTTCAATGAATACTTCCTCTGGGAATGGTGGGCTATTAAGCTCGCTTCGGTACAAAGCGTCGGCACATATTTTGAAAGTCTCATTCAAAGGGACATTTGTGAAAAGACTGCTAATGTCAAAAGAACACATGAAAGATGTTTCGTTTTCGATTCGATGTTCAAGTTTTGCATGAACTCAGCGAACGTAAAAGAGTCCTTGATACAATGTTTTGAATATTTTTGAAGAACAGGGTCCAAAACTTCAGAAAGCCACTTAGACAGTTCGTGTTGTGCTGAGCCAATCATAGACAAAATGGGTCTAAGTGGAACATTCGGCTTGTGTATTTTAGGGAGGCCATACATTTGTGGACGTTGTGAAGCTGTGGGTCTTATCCTATCATAAACTTCGATGGTCAACACTTTTGAGTTAACCAGCTCCAAAGGCGTTTTTGAAGTTTCCGCTCTAGCTTGACCGTTTTATCCTGTGTTTCGGCGTCACCCAGTTTCTCGAACTTTTCTTGTCGAGAAGAATATTCTCCATTTTTTGGATGTAGTCCTTTTTGTTCAAAATAACCACTCCTGACCCCTTATAAAGCTTAGTAACAAAGATGTCATTATTAGACCGTAGAGATTTTAATGCTTGAAAATGTTCTCTATGCAAAAGAAAATCCGAGTGGTCGATGGGAGAGCCGCTGTAAGCCTACGCCAAATCGCTTAGTCGTGCTCGTAATTTGTTAAATTCCAAAGCATCAGAAATATCGTGTCTGGCAAGTTGAGCGTGTAAAATTTCGAATTCAGCAAAAAGTTCCTCTCTGTTTATTAGTTGTGGTGGGATACAAAACTCAAGACCATTACCTAAGACAAATGTTTCGGTTTCAGAAAGAGAATAGTCCGACAAATTAGAAATATGTTTTTTTGAATCGCTCATCAAGCCGCCAAAACGTTTCCTAACTAGCATGCCAATGTTCCTATCATGTTTTTCCGTAGTCTGTTTTAGCTTCCGCTGGTCAATTTCAGAAAAGTAGCGGCAAAGTCGAAAATTATCAAAGAATGTGAGAAACGGACGCGTTTTAGACCATACACCAATTCGACTTACGACCTCATTTGTGAAATTTCTCCAAACTTAATAATACGACTTTTTAAGCTCAGATTTGGTTTTATCGCCATAATTTTGGGCGGGATACCATTTTTCATATTGTTTCAGCTTGTATTTTAGATTTTACGGAGAAATGAAGTTTGAAAACTTGTAAGGGATTTGACCGCAAAAATCGTTCCGGGGAAAACTTTACCCCCCTAGTCGCCAATCACGGTAAAATCCCTTATAAAGTTTTTATCTTTGTGTCGTCATAAAATCAATATCGTGAGCAATATGATAATGAAAACTTACAATTAGACTAAAATCATTGCTCTCTATCTGAATCTGAGGTCAAAAATTTTATACAAAAAAAATTTTGAAGAATTTTTCAAAATGAGGCCGTAAGTCAAATTGGTGTATTGGCTTGTATACAGGGATGGCGCCAGAAAAGAAATGCTGGGGGGGGGGGGGCTGTAATGTCAGAGTGCCGACAGTAAGTGAACCACCCACAAAGATGTAATATCACATCATTTCCGCTGTGGTAATTCTAGTTCAAACCACTGATCTAAAAAAAAGACTGGATCGAGCATCTACTCCTCCACAATGAAGACACCCTGGAGTCGGGCCTAGACTTTTCATTGTGACCCAAGTGATCAGGATAAGTGGTAATCAGGATATTAAATGGAAAACGCAATCTACTGTTTGCAAAAGCCATTAACAAAGTGAAGGTAACAATAGAGATTTAATGAATCGTTTAATTATACATAGATGTGTTGCTACTGTCACTATTCCAGGTTGGAAAACATGCACTTTGTCTTTTCGAGTTGCGAGTACGGGCTGTCAATGTGATGCAAAATGGCTTCGAACGGCACCCTATGTTTTGTTTTTGCCCATAAGCAGCGAAATATATAGAAAAGCGATTGAGGATGATTTGTGCTGGACGGTTATTCCTTCCAAATTTTGTGTAACTGCACTTATTTGTGTATGTTTTCCAACCTGGACACGAAGAAAACTCTAATTTGCTTATAGTTATGGTGCTAAACGATTGAAAAATATATTTATAAATCTCTCGAGCTCAGGAATTAAGTAAGCCAAATCAACCCCCGGTTTATTCTACCGTTTAGCTAACTAAACTCGATTACTTAGATTTGAATGTAAGCAAACCTATAGCTGACCTCTAGTCTGATATTAAAACCTAGCACTGATGTCTGTATCAATGCAATACATTTCTTATAATTTTATCCTTTCAGCCTATATAATTTTATCATTTTAGCCTATTGGCTCTGCCTCGCACTTTGCTTTGGGAGTGGAAAAAATTATGAAGGCTTACGTTGGTCAAGTCATTTCAAAGACTAGGTAATTTTCTTATGTTTAAAATTAACTATTTACATTTTACCGGACAAAGTGTTCATTGATTTTTGAAAAGAATGAGCTTGCTTAGCTTTTTCCTGACTTTGTCAGTTGTGATTTGTTCCGTTTTTTCCTTCCCCAGATGGTGCAGCCTTACTTTGCAGAAGCATTTAGCCACTGTCTTAATCAGATTGAAGATATGATTATCGTCAACAGCAGAATCAAACATATGGTCTTCAATGCCTTTGAAAAGCCTAGACAGATTGAGATCAGATAGGACAGATGTAGCAATGGCATCAGGAATCCCCTTGCATTGTGGCAGTTTCCCCTGGTTTGCAGCTAACATCCTTAAGAACTGTTTTTCTGTCTCTTCACATATTTTGATGACATCTGAGGAAGGCTTGAATAATCCACCATGATCTTTGAAAGCAAGGAAAGCTGATGATGGTGAGTTGGTTTTAGACCCAAGTGCTTCACAGCAGTCCAAGCAACTCATTCTTTTGGCAGCCATCCGTGCAACATACCCAGCAATATAAGAAACTGCAGCTTTCTTATATTCAGATAGGACAGCAACATTTGGCACATCAGTGTAGTCATGCTCATTTTGCATTGGGTTCCGATATGACAGATCATATTTTCGAATGATTGCTGCCTCTGTGATGGAAACCTTGAAAGTCAACAAAATTTCTTGTTAAGGTGTGACATATATTGAACAAATGACTTATAAACTTCATGTTGAAACTATTATGAACAAGATTTTCAAAAATGTGTAAAGTATATCATTATTGATACTTCAATGTTATAATCAGATATATCAGTTGTAAGAGGGATTAACAGAGATGAGTTGAAGCAAGATCTGTACCAACTGAAAACATTGCAAAATTGTTGTTTATGTCATATAGCAAGCTTTTCTGTTATTATAATATCATATTAAAATTATCTTTGCAATTTTTCATGCCATGACAATTTTAAAAACAAATGCCCGAATTTTTAAACGAGGATAAGAAGTAACACATATTATATATAACCTGTTGATCATTAATATTGTAGGTGTCCCCATTTACATGAAGAAGAGCTGTCTGGTCTTGGCGCTGACAATTGCCTCCACCTCCGTCAACACCACTTCTGAGGAGAAGACGCTTGTATGCAGCTGTAAACTGTTGAGCAGTGGGGTTATTATTGAAACCACCAGCTGATCGGATGGCACAGAAAAACAGTTCTAAATGGTCTTGGCTCAGCTTATATGTGAGAAGGTACTTCAATGGCGCTACGGTATTCTCAACTAATGTCTCAAACAGTGCTTGTGTGCTCCTGATTGATGCAAGAAACCCAATGAAACCTGTTTTACGTCTTGAATGACAAATCAGGTTGCCAGAAGGTTCCTTCAGGCCTGCAATGTAGCTGTAGGCTTCATTCAAGAAGGGGTTCCAGACACACTTATTGGATATTCTGAGAGCAGATTTGTATCCTCTGGCAAAGGGATTCCTCGAATTCAGTATATCAAATAGGTGGTCAAACATTCTAATAAAGCTGACTGTTGCCTCACTGTTTTGAAACTGGGGTAGCTTGAGAACATTTGCACAGTATTCAATGGCATCAGCTACACTGGAGCTTAGTGATTGTGCTGCAATGTTCACTTTCATTTTCTGCTGATGCCAATTGATGTGTGATGCTTTAAGCTTATTTGCCAACCTCAATCCCTCTTTTTGCTGAAGCTTATTTAGATCTTTAACATACTGCCAAAGAATTCTACCTCCAGATCGATCAACTAAAACCCCACCTGCTGCAAATGTATTCCTTACTAGCTTAAGCATGTGGCAAACATCAAGAATGACACTGACTTTTTCATCAGAATTCACGGGATGCGGAAAAGCTGGGTCCATATGCTCTAGGCTCAAAGATGCCCCAAGCTCTTTCATCATTGTGAAATGGCAAGAAGGGCCATCACAGGTTACAGAAACAACCTGTACCCCTGTGTCCCATAATCGTTGCAAGCAAACTGAAATAAGATTTGCCCTTTCACATCCGCTAAGCCCATCAATGAAGAAGTATCCACATGGAACCTTCCAAGACCCATTGATACAAACTGCCATCAAGACCAAAACATCCTTAGCAACCGGAAGGGAATCATCATCCTCAATTCCATCTCCCAAATCAACAAACCCTCGATACCTTATTCCATCCCAGGCCACATGCTTGCGTATTGACATTTCATCAAGCATCAGGGAGCACACAACTTTTTGTCCATTATCCTTGGCAACTTCAACCTTGGTTCTGATTGTGTCAAAAGCTGGCTTTGTGAAACCTGGCTCTGCAGGTATTTTGCCATACCACTTTCTTAGATGAGCTTGATGTGGAAGGCACAGATTAAATGTCTTGCGAATGAATTCATATGCCTTTGCAGAATAGAATTGCAAAGTTAGGGCAAAGGATCGCAACTCTGGAGGATACTTGCATCCATTTCCACGTTTTTTTGAAATTAATCGTTTAATGATTGCCAGTGGAACCCCTGAGATACCTTTGTTTAGTCTTTCTTCACAATTTGAAGAAATCATATTCTTGTTGCGCAAGGCTTTAACAACACTTTTCAATGATTTAATGTTGTTTTTTAGACGACGTGACTTTTGATTGGAGCATTTTAACTTTTTCTTCAGTAAATTAATGTGACTCTTGCAGCTACTTAACTTTTTTGCGAGAGAGTTGAATGTCTCAGTTGAACTGTAGGTGTGATCTGCCTTGACACACTCAAGAATTCTCCTTTTGGTAGGTGGCTCATAGCATTCTGGCTTTTCCATGTCTGTTAATGGAGAAACTTGCATGCTTCGTTCAGCTGGTGCCTTCCTCTCTTTTGTTGTCTAAAAAGAAATTCTTAATTATGTCTTTAATATCAACCATATCTCTATTACTAAGTTAAATAGTGGTTTCTTTTTATATAGCTCTTTTACACTGGGGGCAATTACATTAAAAGAGTAAAATCATTCAATAACCATGATATCTGAAGAAATAAGAGCTCAGTCCAAAATACACTAATTTAAACAGTTCAATAAATGCATGTTTGCATCATTATAAAAATCTTGTTACATTGTTGCATAATTTTTTTATTTTGTGCTTCTCTCATTGAAGATATCATTTGCTATATCGTAAAATGTATGAAGGTTATATTATCAGCATCAAGTCTAACCTTTTTAAGATATTTTGGGAATTGTTTAAATCTTGTTGGTACTGCATCATCTTTCAATTTTGCCTTTCTACCAACACGCTGAATACTGGATTCTTTGAAATGGTCTGAACAGATCCTTGAGTACTGACTTGGACTCCAGTCTTGACGATGCATGTTTGCTAGCCAAACAGATCTTTTCTGAGGATCAGACGCGAACCTGAAAGTAATTTGAAAATAATGTGAACAAACTAGGTGCTCTAAGCAACACTGGTAAAAAACTATCTGTACCTTGATTCAAAAGTAATAATTTTGTAGAGGTATCAATAGTTATGAAGAGCAAAGTCAATAAAATGTGTCTTTATATCATTATTTTAGGGCAAGGTTATACATCAGACCTGTTTATAGTGGGAGCTTTGTCTTGCTGAAATAATTTGCTGAAATAAGTTTGTGATGTTGGTTGCTTTCAGGCAATGCAGTTTTTTCTAATTGATTATAATTCTAGAGCTTCATGTCCAGTATATACCATCATAATCAACTAGAAGCTATGATGGTGACACCAATAAGGCAAGCTTAGTTTCTTTTAATATATGTGTATATGTGCCGCCCAATTTGTCTTTGGCCACTATTGCCCTGAATACACAATGCTGTCTTGTCAGTGTTGTGAGGCGGCTGCGAGTTATTTCCATTTACTTTTTAATTATTACACATTCATTATTATAGAAAAACTTAATTTGCAATAATAGCCCTTTAGCCTCCACACTTCACATGGGCTTTTTTAATATCTACATCTAACACACTCCCAACATCAATCCAATAAATTTGTGTTTGTTAACACATTGTTAATCACTAGTTAAAGTATTTTGTTATCTAGATGAAGGCATTTCGTTCATCGATTTTTTACGATCGGGTTTTTCAACCCGGAAGCCTCCTAGTTGTTCATTGCTACAGTAAATACTTATGACTATCCCTACTCGGATTATGAACAATCTTTAGAATTTTAAATTTCTTACCACGAAATCTAGTATCATTCATATATTCTCCTCATTCGCGGGAAAAAAATCAATGGGCCTAATCCCAATTGCGATGGTATGTCAATTACTTACGAGTGAAATGTCCTTGGCCGGCAACGTTTCGCTTCAGATTCCTCGTCTGTACTTCCTTCACTATCGCTTCGCTGAAAAGCTACGTCTCTTACACGTTTTCTTCTCTTATTACACCCATAGGCGCAGCACTGCGTACCGCGATTCGCCATGACTAACAACAACAAATACGAATTTCCCGCGATTTTGGGTCACTTAGCAATTGCGCGGCTCCTCACAGGCTGTCTTCAAAAATTGACCCTTGAAAACAATAGGATGCTCGATCCAGTCTTTTTTTGAGATCAGTGGTTCAAACAGTGCTTCCACTTTTAAGGAAATTTCCTCAGATTAAGGAAATTTGGTCCGTTTGTTATGCAATAAGTTTTATGTTTTATTTAGTTTCGTGATATTCAGTTACCTTTTCTTTTGATGTTCTTGATAGTTCCGTTGTTTGTCACCTTGCCATCAACATTCCGTGCTATTGCATCATTCCATCCCCACTATTGTTGTCATCAGTCCTTTGTTGTTTGAAGTAATTATTTTGTTATCGTAATTAAGGTGTGTTGTCATGTGATTTTATGCTGTGCCCTTGTTTGTGAATTCAGTCGTTATGTGAAGTCGTGAAGTTAAGTCAAGTCGTATCGTTCAGTTGAAGTCGCTTATAGTCGCATTTAAAGTTGCCGTTAAATGACAGTCGTTTAGTTATTAGAAGCTTCGTTGAAACCGCAATCGATTGGATATAGAATAGAAAGGATATTGTTGTCCTTCTTTTGCCTATCCTTACCCGTAAAACATAGTCGTTTTACACGTTTAAGGAAATTTTTAAGGAAATTGATATTTTGAGGAAATTTTAAGGAAATTTTAAATTTCATTTTTTATTATAATTTTTTGTGATTCCTCGCTGTTGGATGGTCAGAACAGCTTTGTTCAGGGGCGGATGCAGAAAGAAATCTGACATTCGCAAAGTTTCGACCACGCCTATATGACCACGCCCAAAAAAAATCAGTCACATTTTACTATAGTCTCAGAATCGAAGTTTTCCACTTAAAGATGTATTTTTCCTTATATTAAGTTTTAGGATTAGGAAACAGAAAATGTTGAGGCTCAAAGGTTGAGAAATTTAAGGATAAATATTAAGAATAACAGCCAGGTCTGGATTTCATTGACAATTTGGCATTTTACTTATTGAGTGAACAAGAAAAGAGATCTCTGGAAAAATTTTGAGAAACACTCATCAAGTTTTTGTTGTGTTGGCATGTTTTGTTTCCTACATGGCTTTTGTGATGGAAAAACAGCAGCAAAGATTTGAAATGTCCTCTTAATAATGATTTAATGGCAAGTCTAGGCACAGAACCAAAAATTGTCAAGAACAAAGAGGATGAGCTAAAATAAGGGTATATTAGATGTGTGTATCACCCCTTCTCAGGGAGAAAAACTCATGAAAAACATTTTATGTCACTCACTTAAAAACAGCCATTTAAATAAAGGAATCTTAGTTCTATTTATACAATGATATTATTTAACAATCAAATACTGTGTTTAGTGTAGAAATTTTCAATGCAATATCCACCCAAATGTTTGACTTCAACACCAAGTACCTTAGGGGCTCAGAGCTTTTCTGTTATTTATTTTGTGCATTCACCTTTCTATCTAAACTGCTGTGTGATGTGCCTTAAACATGGCCAAAAATACCAGTTAGGTCAATACACATCATACAATTTTAGTATTTTCAGGTGTTGGTAAAACAGCAAATGTAACAGAATTTAAAACAATTCATTGTCTTTCCATAACAAGAACATCATAAATATATATTATATACAAATTTTAAATGTACATCAAACAAAGTCAGTAATGGCAAAGAAATAAGGCAAACATGGTAACTTTTACTATATGGATTTATATGAGATATTTACTTGGCAGAACCAACTTGCTGTGAATTTCTTATTAATAATGTAGTAATTCCCCCATTAGGATCATTCCATTGATTGCACTTATTTACTACCCATATTTACATTTATTTACACACACAATTACATAGAAAAGAAAACTGTCAGTCACTTGCAAATTCATAAACAAAAATTAATGAATCTTAAGGGTATTTCAGAACCAAAAGTTGCAAATGGTATACTCTTATAGTGTGGAAACCACAAATAATTTTACTAGTTTTAGAGGTTAAACTCGTGAAAAGGGTTACCATATTTATGGCATGACCAGACAAATAAAATCAAAATATTATTACAATTTCTCATTTACAAATATGGCAGTCTAGATTTTTCCAAAACTGACAGCATAAAATTAACAAGAAAAGAATACGCCGTAGAAAATGCAATATCTTATTCAAAAACAAATCCCCAGCACAGTCAAACTATTTACAGGTTTGTGATAATAACAACATCTATCAATAAAAAATATCTAGAACTCTAAAATTCAGCATATTCAAATTCATCAAGATATTTATAGAACAGCATCATTCGTCAGAATGCTACATCATCATTATCAAGCTGTACCTGACTTGAACCCTAAAAGTTCTGATTGAAAGCCTGCATAAAAATGGCTATTTACCTTAAAATGCAACACGTATTTTTCAAAATATTATTTGAGTCTGAATCTCTGTCTAAATAACGTCCTCCATCATGAAAATGAAAACATAGGCAAAATTTTGGTTCAACAATTTTAGGTCCAACTGAACTGTCCTCGCATATTGCCATCTATCAAATTCCATCCATCAACCAAAATCTTCGACAAACTTTGAACATCTTCATAAGAAATTCGCTGATTCAAATTAAAAATCATCTTATATTTGACTCCTTTCACTCCCTCTGAAGTACAATTGCTCCTCTTCTGCAAGCAAATATCTCCACAGCTTTCCAACAACAATCATGGCCGTTGATCTGGAAGCGAGGTTTCAATATGCTCACTTTCCAAGGTTCTCTCCCTCAACTGGCTACCGAACATAGTTCGCATCTACCTTCGCCACATTCGCAAAAAAATTTCCCATATACATTTCCTATTGGTTTTCAGATGGCTAAATAACATAGCTTGACTGACATTCGCACAAATTTTTGGCATACATTTTTCAGTACTACTTCATTTGCGCACGCATGCCTAATATATTATAATTCCATTCGACATTCGCATCAAACCTTATTGGTGCTCTGTGAATTTATGCGTAAAAGGGGGAGCCCTCTTTCGAATATATCATCTCTAAATCACGAAAACGAGGGAATAAAACCTAAAAAGTAAACAACAAGGTGACATCATAGCAACTAGGGCAGGAAACAAAACTTTTATTTCTTGTATTCTGTGGACCTTTTTTTTATTATCTGGCCATTTCTAGTACAATATTCACAATGCTAAAATGTATTAACAGACAATTACAAAAAGACATGTGGAAATCTGACATTCGCCAGTGCGAATGTTGCGAATGTCTGGATCCGCCCCTGGCTTTGTTCAATCGATTTGATATGTGAAATTCCTTGTTTTAAAGAAAATTTTCTCAGATAATCCCTTTGGACTGCTGTGTTATTGGTGTAGGTCAGCTACTGTTAACTATTTTGATTAAGACTTTGGTTAAGAAATGGTGGAGTTAAGCGAGTAAAAATGAAACGTAATTATGTTGAAGCAAAGGTAAAGCCTTCCAAAGAATAATATGAACAAAAGATAACTAACGACACTGGCAAATTTCAACCTTGGTGCCAAGTGGGTAAGATGAAAGTATGCTGCTCTAAAGCAGCTCCAGCCATATATCAAGACCCTGCCCATAAAGAGGTTATGGCAAGGTCAGCAACACTGGAAACAACAAACAAGAAAATTGATTCCATGCCTGGCCAAAGTGACAAGGAAGCTACAAGGATGGAACTTAAAAATGCTTGTTTCATTGCAGAAAAAAATTTGCCTATCAATATATCCCAAGGATAAGACATTAAGCAGATGCTCACTTGGAAAACAGAAGACAACTAACCTTATGCGTCAAGTTCAATTTTTTAAGAGAAGGTTCCCCAAAGCTACAAGGTAACACGATCTCCTTGATCATTGACGATAAAAAAGATCGATCTACACAAAGTCAGCTAGCAATTCTTGGTACATATTTTGATAGCGAAAGATATCAGATGCACAGCATACTTATAGACATGAACGATAAGCTTATAGCTGAAATAAAGCTTCAATTTAACGAAAATTATATCCGAGGAAATTTCAAATGACGTCTGAGGAAATCTGAGGAAATTTCAGCCTCGTTTAAGGAAACCCGCATTGTCATTTGTGGAAGCACTGAGTTCAAAAGACTATTGAAGTTATGAAAGTGCCGACATTGCTTAAAATTTTTCAAAAATTCAAGTGCCGACGGGGGGCTCAATGAATTTTTTTTTGGGGGGGCTCCTGTCCCCCCAAGCACCCCCGGTGGCGCCATCCCTGCGTGTATATAAACGTTTTAGATTCAGAATATTAGTTTTAGTTTTCTGAATTTCATCTTGTAGAAAAGCGCGCTCAATGGTTGGGCTGTGTCTAACACCAGACTTAAATTACGAGCGGTGATAAATTTAGGTGCAACCCGATTAGTCAAACATAACCCGAGAAAGGATAAAGAGAACCTAGCCGACCTCAGCTTACCTCTAAGCTTAACCAATGCGTTGAGATCCTCAATCTCCTCATTTGTGTACCTCTGCTACAGCTACTGCTAAACTAAAGCTTTTCGTCTGACACTCTTCAGAGTTTAAAACGTCAGAACATAGATCGAAAACTCTACGCTAAGAAATATATGGATTTAGTTTACTAAATGTTTGCTTTTTTCAAAGCCATTTAGAAAATCATTCATTAAAACAAGCAATTTCCCATACTGCTTTTTGCCACTATTCAAAATGGCGGAAGTAAACAAATTTGCTTCACTCGGCAGTACGCAGCATGACCCGCGTACTGCCTTCGGCGCTACTATATCATTGCACAGATAATTGCGATCATTGCGTAGATCCTGTTTCGCTAAGTTGTCAGCGAGGCTTGTTTTTGCAAAAGACAAAGGTAAGTGTATGCATTTTTTCGTTTGTTATCTAGCTGTTTATCCAGAACCTGCCTCCGTGATTTGCCAGCCTGAAAACTTCACATACTCCGGTGAGATGGTTGCAGTATGATTGCACATTTCAAATCCATCATGTTACTTGATAAACAAGTGTGGTGTAGTTGAAACGATAAGAAAACCTAAGTAACAACACAATAGAAACACTTGTTTATGTATAAAAGTTCCCTCAAAATGCGGACGTAGATTTAAAAATGCGGCTATGAAATTGTCAGTCTGGCTGGTGTCTTTTGTACACTATTTCGTGTAATCAGATCTTCCTTGTTCGTGCTTCTAATCGGCCTAATGCAACTGCAAGAGCAAGCATCATCAAAAAGGCGGAGTTTGCACATCCGCAAAATTCCTCTACTTTTGACGTAAAATAAAAACACAACAAAATGCGTAAACCGAATGCAGACTATGAAAAAACAGTGTAGCAGGTATCGAGAAAGAGAATTAACGGCTGTTTGGGCAAAAAACCCGAGATTTAAAAAATTTATTAAAGGAAAACTGAAGAGCGGTTTTGGAAAAATTTCGTTTTTACCAAAATTCGGGGGGCTGAAAATGTTTTTGGAACAACTTCAAATTCTTGCAAACTATAAAAAATAGTGTAGCAAATTGTGTTCTATCGATTAAACTTTAAATAGTATTTTTACCTTTTTTGCGAAAAGTTATTAAAGGAAAACCGGAGGGCTGTTTTCACAAATTGCATATTTTTGTCTATGTTTCGGAGACTTTCATATGAACTGGAACTATTATTTAACTATCAAAATATGAAAAAACAGTGAAACTATGGTATTTGTGATGTTTAAAAATTAAATCAGTTCTACAGATTTAGTAAGTTAAAAGTTATTAAAGGAAAGCTGAGAAGTTTGCGTCCGAATCGTCAGAGCGAATCGTCCGGATAACCGGCACAAAAAACGCATTGTTACTTGCGGTGGGATACCGTAAATCCTCGTAATAGATCCCCTGGGGCTTGTTTATTTTTCATGTTTCTGGATTGGGGCTTATTCGAGGGGGGGCTTATACGGGGGGGGGGATTGGCTTATAAAATTATTGTAGACATTAAGCCAGGGGCGGCGCGGAGTGATATAAAGTTGCTATTACCACAAATATATCTACCCTGTGAGTTCTTTATTAGTGAGTTTTTAAACGATTGTTTTAGGACCTATATCTCTTTTCTCAAAGTCCGTATGTACGGGTGGAGCCACTAATCTAACGCATAGACTGATAGTCTTTGTGAAAGGTGGCTACACTTTGGGGCCGATAGACCCCAGCGGCTCTTTGCCATCTGGGAAAGCCCCTTGCTATTAAAGGTACACTGTGTTATAGCAAGATTGCCACTGTGGTCTAATCTGGTACCAGAGAGCGTATTAGTTCCCCGTGAGAAGTTTGTCTGAAAGTTTGTAAAAGCAGCATAATGGCCTCATTCACTATAACTAAAAATGCCAGAAATAAAGTGTACTTTATGTCTGAATCACCTTAAGTCAAAACTTTTCTGAATCGGCTTTTTACTAACTTCAACATCGGGTTAGGACGTCCATCATTTTGAGGCGAAGGCCCTGCTCATGAGTTAATTTGCCAAAATTTGCAAATATAAAAGGAAGAAAGCCATTGAAACATCCTGACTTATATATCTATACAAGCAGACGCGAAACGATTTGTTTTTTTTCGCGTCAAGCTACTTCGTTCTCCTCGAGATGAGCACATATCTGATCTCTTGCTATTAAATCTGAGATTGTAATAGCAAAGCAGCGGGATTTGCTTTCCAAACAATAGCCTAATGCGCTGCAAACAAAGGGAGTTATGATGTAATGTACTATTGTTTTCCTTCATTTGCTATGAAAAAGGCCAAAGTAATAGCATGGCCGCTCTGTGGCTGAAGAATGAGGCTCCTCTCATGCCGTGGTATATTGGCTTTTGATGAAGGTCTGCTGCGGCTACTTTAGTGTGATTGAATGAGGCAATTACAATTAGAACCGCTGTTGAAAATTTTTGTGTTTCGTTTTATTTTCCTTACATTACACACAAAGTGGCCTTGAAAAAAATTGCTATTACAGTAATAGCAATTATAGCACTGTCCGCCGCCCCTGCATTAAGCAGACATTATTAAAAGACCTCGTTTGTTTTAGTTGGAATTTCTTTCTAAGCATTTAATTAATTATTACCAAAAGTATGAATTTTTGTAGTAATTCAATAAAACGCCAAAGGCAACCTCAGATGGCAAAAATCATCAAATTGGAGAATTTACGGTAGCAGTGGGGGCTTATTCGAGGGGGGGGGGTTATTGGCAATTTGTAGTCCTAGGGTGGGGGGATATTTTGGGGGCTTTTTCGAGGGGATGGGGCAATTCAAGATTTACGGTGTCTAAATTTCTAAGTATACTTTGATATGAAATACGTTTTCGAATGTCATCGATATTTCCCGGGGTTTTTAAGTTGCTCTGGAAAAGGTTTTTTTTCCCGTGGTTCTTTAGTTGCCCCCCCCCCCTGAGAAAAGGGATTTTTTAACACTCAATTTTAAATGCGTGTTAGCTTTACAGCGAAGCAAGACAGGAAAATGGTGAAAAGAGATTCTTTAGCGCAAAAGCCAGGGATCGATTTAGGGGGAGGAGTGTAGTGGTGTAGGGGTGCGTCACCCCCAATATTTCTGTGTCCTTCAGAAAATTTTGTTCCATTTGGTAGAATTATTTTTTGGTAGTTGAAGGAACAAAGTAACGCCAAGATTTTATTTTATTTATCTTCTTATCGCTAGCGTAGCGAGGGGACATCCCCCCAAATGCTCAGAAATTTGGTGTCTGAGGAAAGTGCAAATCTGCAAAAAAGTTAGTACCTCAGGGAAATTATATATCAGTCAATACTAAAGCGTTATTAAAGACTGTAAGAAATATTCTGAAATGTATTTTTAAGCTAATCTAAAGGGCGTAGTCACAAAAAGTTTCTTTTCCTCTACAGAATGTTTTACAATTTCCCCTCGTTTTAGGGTTTATATGGAAAAGTTCCCTTTTGACGTGACTCTTTTGACGTGACTCTTTTGACGTGACTCTTTTGGCTACTGGAAAATCAGTTTTCACATGTAGATCTTTCTCGCCTTACACAATTCAGGATATAAACGTTAGAGGAATTTGAAAGAAATAGACAGTTGTAGAATGGGGTCAGCCACAAAAAGCTACATATAACGGTTATTGTGTTTGATTCAGTGGTTATTGTAAGAAAATTTTACAACACCGCATAATCAAGCAAATTTTTTTCAGCTTTTTAACTCTACTGTTGAGATAAAGCCAAAAACAACGGTAGTATAAGATCCACTATCCTAACAAAATAGGTCTTTCTATTGACTTCAGTGTTGGCATTGGCGTTTTAGACTTTAGGTTTTGACGAGATATAGAGTATGGTGTGGCTTTATCAAATAAGGACGAAAACACTCAAAAAGCAGTAAAACTCGGCCCGAATAGCGGGGCACAACTCCTTAGAATCTATGGACATGACTGGTGGGTAATTGATAAACTCGAAAAACCCTGTTAGACAAAAAAACAGGCAGGTAAGGGCACCAAAATACCTGTATCAGAGACATATCAAAGTGCATGACAGAATATGCGTGGATCGGGACATTACAGCATTATAGCATCAAGAAATGGTCAATTTTGCAGATGTCGTAATGAAATGTATGGAACTGGCATTATTGTATATCCGTATAATATGCCTTGGCTAGGATGCTAGCTGCAGAGCCGCAGTCGTGTTTTGTGGCTAATGACTGCGTGCATCTTTTGAAAACATCAATGTAAAGCAGAATGATTATTATTTATACCACACAAAATCTGTGCCTACGTGTGCATTTTGATTAGCAAATGCTGGCAATGTGGATCCCCCATCCCATGGCTTTTAAGACAATAAAGCTATAGAATGGACAACACTTCCATTTTCATGACAAATCTGAACAGTCTTGGAAAAAGTGTCTTTGATGGGCATACTTCTGCCAGAAAAAAAATACAAAAGGTACCAGAATTTTCAGCCTAAAATGAGACTCAATGACATCACCGGGTAGTCAGTGTATAAAGCCAACCCTCCAGTCTTTCGCCCACGTTTCATTTAAATTCTGTGATGGATGGCTGAAATCGAAAGAGAGAAGGCAGAAGCTAATAGAGAAAAGGAAACGTCAGCGTTGGTTCAACGGGTGTACACGGAAACGTAGAAAGTGTAAACCTTAGACGAACTGCACGAAGAGGATAAACAGCCAAGATCATAAGTAAAAAGTTTTAAGATCCAGAACTGGCTGACCATTCATTATAATCCTTCGATTGTGTTAAGTTGGCTTTGCATCCAAAACAAATGGATTAAGTTTATTTTTGCAATTATTATGCAACTGATTTTGTGAGTTTGCCTTTTAAAAAGACAAGGCACCTTCGTCTGCAAATTTTCAGACTTATTGGCAAACAGATGATGGCACACCCACTTTGTCAACGAATGAGATTTGAGCACAATAGCTAGCAATGGCCCCGGAACTGTTAAATAAATTTTTTCCTAGTTGACGCTCAGAGGCACTATCAATGCTGACATAGCGTACCATATTAGGGTTAATAATGATGTAGGTATCTTGTATAGTAAATTAAATATGAAGACAGATTCAGTAAATATAATTTTTTTCTGACCAAAATTAATTTGTTGTCGATCTTTTAAAAATAGTTGCAAAAATAATCATAATGCTTTTGTTCTGAACGCAAAGCTAATGCAATTTTTCTTTTTTTAAATTTTTTGTTGTAGTGCAGAGGTACTAAGCCCACGCCAAATTGCTCTGTGCCAAGCCATTGCCACGACAATGGTCCATTGCTGCGCCAACAGGCAAAATTTTTTGAGGTCACGCCCTCCAGAACGCCGGAAAACGCCCCTTTTAGAAAATACTTTTTCATTTCTACTCAATTTTTATAAACAGTCTGGTTCAGAGAAGTTATCAATAACTATAGAAATATATAAAATTAGCTTGAGAGTAACAAAATACGAAGCTAACCAAGCTAGAAAGTACATCATATCATTAAACAAGATAAAACACCTAGAAAATGAGCAAAAAAGGTTCCCAGTCAAGAAGAACTGCTACTACATAGGAGTAAACTATGCAAAGATGCATCAGAGTAAACCTTCCAAAAAATTTGTGGCCTATTATTGCAAAAAAGTGGGGGGGGAGGCTATAGCCCCTGCTAGCCCAATAGCTGCGCGGTTCCTGCCAAAAGGTAGGCCAACCCTACGCCAAAATGTACGCCAATGGCCTAGGCCACGTTTTTTCACAACCCAACGGTAACAAAACCACGTAAGAATAAATAACCCCCGTTAGCCAACCATTTAACGGGCGTTTCCATAATTTGCCAGTGACCTGATTCACGAAAACTCAATTAGTGTCTAACACCCCCAATCATTGTTGCTTACATCTTTCCCCAACTAAAGCCTTTCCAGAATTTCGTCCAGCCATCTTTTTACACCCCTTTTTGAAAATGGTATTTGTCCCATCTTTACCATCTTCCCTATTTTCAAGGTATAATGCAGTAGGGCAAATATGGGCAACTGTGCCTTAAATAAGATATTGGCAAGCAAATTCCTATGAGACCCTATCATCTTTGGGACAGAGAGCTGATTTGTGTAGAAATTCTGTCACTTGCAATTAATGACCCGTTTTGTACACCTAAGATCAGGGACGTAGCGTGCGGGGGGGGGTGTCGGGGGGGATGTACACCCCCAACTTTCCAAAAACTCGTTGGTAGAATTAAATTTATAACAAAATATTAATGTAACAAAAGAATTTCTGTCGGTAAAATATGGTTTTGCATCTCTTACACCCCCCCCCCAGCGAGAATGGCCACGCGACGCCACTGCCTAAGATCTCAACTAAGTTGGATTTATTTGTCCAGTCTTCTATTGAATGGAAATAGAGCAATAACGGTGCAACAGAAGACTGAGGGGGACACCTCATCAAAGTTCTTTGGATTATCAATTTTGTTTTTTGTCTAAATTTGATAAGAATTTGTTGGGGAAGTGGTTACGTTTTTGCAAAGTGTTTTTTGTGATGTAATTCTATAATTATGTAACTGCCTTTAGGTACCAAAAAATTGATATAGGCGTTTCCTATGGGCAAAACAGGCATTTCTTGTTGATCAAACATTGTTTGCAGACAATAAAAAGGGTGTTGCCCAATGGCTAATGTGGTCTGTGAAAGAAACAGATGCCTCCATCTCTTCTTTCAGCATTCCTCCTCACCCGAGCCTTTCTATAGATATCTGTAAGATTAGCATTTATTTATTTTGTAAAATGCAGGGTACCCTCCAAGCAGTTAAAACTGACTTATGGGAGAGTTGTCCCATTTTTCCCCTCCAGTGATCCACCTGTAAAGGAAAAAACCGTATATGTACCCTGTGGCCCATAAGTTAATAGGATTCAAAATAGAATTTTTTCCTTTTTCCCTTGTCAACAAAACAAAGTTACTGTAGGTATGAGGTCATACTGTGTGGTTCCAAATCTTGTTTTTATTTCAAGTTGCATACTTCTATGTTATTCATGTCATAATTCTGTTTTATGAGTGATGATAAGAGGGGACAAACCATGATGCATGTTTGTGATTTGGCTGTATTTAATCTGTAACTGAATACCATGTCCTTTAGTTATCTCCCAGGGGGGGGGTGCTTATGAATATTTGTAGTTATTGGATCAGGGCTAATTTGTTAGGGAGGGAGTTAGAGGAATCATCTATGAATGACAAAACAAATTCTCTAAGTTTACTTTGAGAAATGAAACATTCTGCAAGTTAGTGTTGAGCAGAAACTTGTGAAAATGATGAGTTAATATTAGTTTATCATTTTTCTGTTGAATATCTGCTTTTCCATGGACATAGATAATTAATTGTAGAAATTGACCCTTTTTAATGGTTTGCACCACCATGGCAGGGGCTTTTATGAAGATGAGTCAATTAATGGACTTATAGTGCACATCAATAGTTCAACAGAAAAATTTCAATAGGGTTTGTTCCAAATTGGTGATGACTTTGATTCTCCCAGGGCTGGCTCAAGATTTGAAATTAAATGCTGATTTTGTTGAAATGAAAAGTATTCATGTTATTGGCAGCATGTTTATGATATAAATGCTCTTTTATTCTCAAAATTCGTCAATATTTTGTTCTAAATATTTATTATGCTTCAATTACAAAGTTAACACACCCAAAGTTTGTTGGGGGTTAAAGACATGTCCATTGCCAAAAATTTAATTTGATGATAATCATACATTGAATGAATCAAGAAAGACAATGACGACAGTTATGGGGGGGGGCTAAGTAAAACTCTCCCCCTTCTTCCATTTTTTATGTTATTTGATATTTTGATCAAGGACATTGGAATGCAGCCTCGTTTTGAAAGGCACTTGAAACTTCTTTGTTGAAAATGGATTAAGAACATTTTGATTGCTTTTGGAAGGGTTTGAAATACAGGTCTGCAATAGATGTCTTAAAATGAGCCAGAACTTCCGGACCATTCTAAAGAAGGGATAAGCCCTTGGGCATTGATCAATACCATTTTATCACACTATTGTTATTGTGACTTAAGTTTCGTAGAGGGGGTGGACGTAACTCAGATGAAAGGGTGTTTCATACTTGGGCATGGCTTTACATGCTCGCAAAAAAGTTAGCTACTGTAAAGGCAAATTGGGCCTTAAACATGTTATTTTTTATGTTTGAAGTATATTTGAAGCTCTCTGCCCTGATTTGAGAGAAATATCTAAATTAGTGCGAATAAAGATTTTGGTGCTGCTGAAAAAGCGCTAAAATTTCCGACAGGATCTTGTTAGTTGGCTTTAAAGCCCCTAGCCCCCACGCGATTCCCCTATATCACTACGAACGGCTAATTAGCTGTAGCTTGAATTAACTGACATTTGCAGAGGAATAATTCTATCACTTACTTTAATCTTTCGTTTTTTAGGTATCTTAGTTAAAACGGTGAAAGATAAAAACCGAAAAATGCCGTTGACTGTGGAAGAGCAGGAAAAGGCATTTTGCTGGGAGGCAGATCCGCTTTATTTCAATTTCCACAATGAAATTCCCGGTAAGGTACGAATGCATACAAGAAAAATGGAGTGGAAAGACTGGATTAAAATTGACAAAACATATCCTGCACAAATGAAACTTCGAGGGGAGCTTCTTGAGTCCACTAGAGACACTGTTTTTGTCACCAATCACGAGGAATCTACAAAGCTTGCCAAACAGGAATTGCTGGAGAAAATTATTGATTATTTGCCCTCGCGCTTTCCAGACAAATTTGAGAAAAGAGATGGTGGGATTTACAACAAGATTCTTGATGAAACTGTTTCAGCAGATTGTAATGATTCTATCGATCCTCTTATTCGTGCTGGTATGTAGTTTTCTATCCTTAACATATCTCTTCATAATCATGAAAATAATCACGCAATATAAATAATGGAGAACTTTCATTTCCATTGGAATCTAAAACTGCACTTACAAATCTGGGTTTACAAGATGAAATTAAATAACAAACGTAATTCACATATAGTTGTGTATGTAGTTAAAAGGGGGGTATAGTTCAAGGTCAGTCCATGTTTTGAATTTACAACAAAAGATGGGCACGAATGGATATTGTAGAAAACTTGGAAATGAGATAGGAAAGGAGAGCGACATATTTCAAGGAATGAGCAGCATGAGTCACTGAAGATGCCAAGAGAGCTAATGGAGAGGTTTACAAATAGGCAGATGACATCTGAGACAAAACGAGCATATTTTAAACGTTTCATTTCTGCATTGCAGTTAAGGTTGGTTTCAGATCCTATCGTTAGTTCCCAAACATAAAATGTATTCTTTGTTCTGCAAAAGTAGATCTGGGCGAGGAGAAGCCAGGAATATCGGCAAATGGAGATGATCCCTCTATTGCTTTCAAGGAGATGACAAGGCAATAAAGCGCAGAATTATGCCATCGGGTATAACAACCTTGTTCAAGATAGACTTTGCAGCCTGCAGCGAAATGGAGTTAAATTTCAGGAAGAAGGCAGAATTCGCAATCAGATACTTAATCAGAGGCTCCAAATGTTTAAATTTTTGCGAGTAGGGAGAATATTGTTAAGGTATGTGATGGTAAAATTGAAGACGTTAGTAGGTAGGTTGCTCTGCACAATAGACCAGAGACCATTTGAGAGATGCGTCCAACAGAAATGAAAGAATAGCGCCCTGGGATGGTAATCTGTGTGCCAATCGGTCTTTACTGTCTGATTTCACTATTAATGATAATCATCATACCTTCATAATCAATGCCAACTTCAACGCCAGTCGTGAGCACAATTTTTTGGTAGATTTTTACCGTAGACCAATATGACTGTATTGCTGGAAATAGTAAAGACTTTGCTGTAAGTACAGTTGGTCTTTGTGGATTTCATTTGTTTAATTTCTATCTGTTATTATCAAATCTTATACATATGACACCTTGATTTCATTTTAGGCAGACTAACCCAAGAGGACTGGGTGATACTTGAATGGGATGAAGATTTAGACAGCTATAAGCTAACTGCAGGCATTGTTTACTTTCCGATGAGGTGGTCCTTGAATGATAAGTGGAACAAAGGTATGCCAGGCATTCATAAGCCAGTCAAAGGTTTCATGAAACACTTATTAAAAAATGTCCAAAGTTTATTCAAGGCAATGACCCCGGCTGCCCCAGTATGGCGGGCAAACTGGGCTGTGTTCAATGATGTTGCCGGACCATTGGATCTATACACACCGACTGGTCACCGTGATCGTAACAAGACTAATCAAGTCACTGTATATGAAGGCGAGGCTACTGGAAAGAAGCTGATGTATCGTGCTGAATACCAAACACTTGTAAAGCTCCCAAAAAGCAAAGCAATTGTTTTCAGCATTCGTACTTATCAAAGATATTTGTCCGATTTTAGAGACTACCCGGTCCGTGATGCAGTGGCTTTGATACAAGCAATCGAAACTCTAGACCAAGATTTTTATGTTTACAAGGGCACCGAATTTTGGAAAGATGCCGCCATCAAGTATCTCAAATTAGTTAAAAAGGAGAAGGAAGGGAAAAATTGGTCACCATATTTCCTGGCTGGTGCTGCGATTGTTTGCGGGGTAGCCCTTGGTGTAGCTTTTAAACGTTCCAGATAAATGCCCTTTTCTGTTTGGACTTTAATGAAATTTACTTGGGGGCTTATTAAGCTTTGATACTTAAGACATATTTTCTATATAATAAACGTATTTTAGAAATAAATTTGAATTATAATGGTTACTGAACTGGTCTTCAGATATTGATTGTTGAATAGATTATTTTGTACGTAATAAGTCATTTTATAGAATCTTGGTACAACTGTGAATGGTTCAGTCGTCAATAACAACAACTCAACTCAACGTATCTCAGTTTCGTTTCACCAACTCTCGTCACTGTTCCATCAATGAAAACGCTCAATTAATGTAGCCCAGTGAGTTGATCTCTCACCAACGAACTCCTTTTTACTGTACCGTTGAAAACCAATATATCCCAATGCTTGCAGAAGCTGTTCAAAACGCTCCACTTTTCTTCACATTGATTGCGTTACAATACAGCTTTTTTTAATTTATTACCATCCAAAGAATCCTCTAAAAAATGTCTAGATTGTACTTTCAGTGCTTCCTCGGTTAAGTGTAAACTTGAATATGTGACGTCAACACTATCTGGTTACGCTTGAGCCTTTGCAAATCTCTACAATCTGGGTAGAAATGCACCTAAATCTTCCCCATCATTAACTGCGAGCATCTTTGTAACTTTCATTTTTAGAGCCCCCGCATGCTCAGGTATATCAAAATTTGACTTGCTATCTTCCATCTTTTATAATATCAGCTTAATCTCCATTCATCTACAAACTCTCTTGCCTTAAGTTGACGCTCTATTAGCTTTTGAAATATTTACCATACCTCTTTCTTGTTCTGCTTTTTCTTATTTTTTTTAACAGCTCTCTCAGCAGCCTAGACACTCTTATTTCCTAATAAACTCTGCTAGGCTTTCAAATGTTGCCCCTACCTTTACCAAATTATCCAGATCTATGTCTCCATTCTACTACTAACTACTCTCCTGAAAATGAAGCTTCAAGTCTGAACACAAATGAACACCCACTAAACAAACCATCCAAGGTCACCTCAACAACTTTGACTATCTTTCTGCTAAAGAGATGTCTATAGACAAGTTAAGGGCATCCCGAGGTTCAGGAGTAATTGGCACCCCAAGTTTCCCCTGTCCCAAATCAGATCATTATGCCCTAAGTTAAATTCCCCTAAAATGTATTCATTGGGAAGTATACCATTGTAGTCTTTTATGTTGAATGCCAACATGTAAAATGTATTAGGGCTACTCGAGCCATCTTAACATAGTGCATTCCTTATTGGAGTTTGAGCAGTTTTCATAGTTGAGAAAATATTCACCGAGTTAATAACACTTTTTTCTCTATATCTTGATGCTTTTATTTGATTGTTAATATTGCGAATACTTGTTGATTTTTAAATGATTGATAAAGCGTTTAGCTTCATGTTACGTTTGTTGAATTATGTATTACGTTTGTTGAATTATAACTATGTACCTTTGTAGTTGTAATTAATTTCGTAATAATTAGTCCAACTTAATGTATTCTTTGTTGTAAAAGTGTATTAGCCATGTATTAGATATAGAGTCGCGAGGACCATCTCGGCCTACATGCTAACGAAATAAAAATAAAGAAAATAGAAAATAAAGTTTCATGTCTGATACTTTATCTATCTGCCTGACTACAATTTGATTTAGTAGCTTAAAAGATAGAGACAAAATTCTATCTGGCCTACCCTATAGAAAAAAGTTTGCCCTTACATATTCAAGCAATTTTTTGGTGGTACAAAACTTGAAAATGACTTTGAAGAAAGCAAACATTTGAGTAAACTAAAGCTTTCGTCTGACATTTCTTAGAGTTAAAAACGTCAGAACATAGATCGAAAACTCTACGCTAGGAAATATATATACCCAGTTGTGGATCGAAAAAGGCCAATCAGAAACGCGAGCACATGACTGCTGAGGTTAACCAATCAGTGCCTCTTGGCTATTGAGAATGTTACCAATGGAGTCCTAAGGTGAAAACGAATTCCTTTTGTCTACACAATAGCGGTTTTTTCTTGCTGATGTAGATAGATTCCTAAACTGCTTGATGAAACGATGATCGGGCTTTACCAATAATCCGGAACATGTCGCCATTATAGTTTTTAGCACAATCTGAGTTTTCCAGTAAATGCTGCCCGATAGCAGAATCGCAGGTTTTAGTTGTAATTTTAGATTTGCAAGACCGAGGTGGCTGTTCTCTATGGGGATGAATTTTGTTTCTGATATTAGACGGAACATATTGTTTTATTCTATCCTCCAATTTTTGACTGCCGTAAACAAACGTAATGTTTGACTGATTGACTGTGATAAATGAGTCAATAACATCATCATCATCACTATCTTAAATCAATCAATAAACGCAGAGCGTGTCATGGCACAAAAAGTTCTCGCACATATGTAAAAGAGAAACATATGTTCCTCGCTTTGATTCACAGAGCAAGTTGTTGCGTTGGTCTAAACCTCCAAATCTTAGAGCCACAGCCCGAGAATGCCAATTGCTAAATCTGTACGCTTCACGTAGAATTCCAAGGTCTTGAAGCCGCAAACCTATAATATGCATCCATTTACTATAGCAGCAATCGGCCCATCATGCATTGCAGGATAAATTCCTTCTTCTTGGCTACACGCTTCTCTGGTAACCAGGGCAGACAAATTCTGTTGTTTGCAGATTGGGTAAAACTATACAACTTTTTAACAATTTGGAGTTATGACTTATGAATAGGTTGAATCTTTATTGCATTCAGAAATATCTACCAAAGCTACCGAATGTATCCCTCAATCAAAGCCAATGCAAATACGGTAACCCTGAATATAAAACACTGATTTATCAACAAAGTGGCAAATGAATACTGCAAGGCAGGTAGTGATAGAGGCATTACTTTAGCTACTGGCCATAGTCGATTGACATGGGATAGTTTAGTTAGATGTCAAGGATTTCAATACTGTTAATGGTCATAGCAGCAAAGTCTCGCTCTAACCAAATGCAGTAAGGTACGTATCGTTTTTATCTATGTTAATTCCATACTGGTTTTTGATGGTCAAATGTCTTTACTTTTAAGTTCTGGTATTATTTCTGCTACGGCTTTGGATTGTGTACCAGCAGTGCCAAAAAGTAAGCCCAAATTGGGCCTGATACTGCAATTCAGCCTCCGGACGTTTCTCGTCTGTTTTCATCTGGGACTTATTCAGGAAAGGGACTAATGCTGCAGCATCAAACGCTTCCACCTTGATCCGGTCTCGTCTTCCACCTTCGTAATCACGAACAATTACTGTCGGAAAGTGGTTCGCTCTGTTACTTACGCACTCTGTCACTCAACATTCGTCAGATAAGCAAATTAGTTTCAAAAAATCTGAAAAGTCGCTTTCTCTGCGCGTGTGATTCAAAACGTCGTTCTTGCATTACTAGGAACCTCTTATGCCGTTTTCGCGACGTTTGCACCTTAAGAGCCGAAAAAATTGATTTCATTTACTTAGGTACCTTACAGACGCAATAAATGAAAGAAATCGTTTTCTTAGAAGCACCGCTCATTAACAAGACTCACAAGTTCTCAAATGATCAAGTTATTTTGAGGTGCTCCACTGAAATGTAGGAAAGTTTCAAGTAACAACACACCCTGGATTTCACCCTTAATCAAAAAATTAATGAGAGAGCGTGACCAGGCAAAGAAAAGAGCCGAAAAAGATCACAATTTATGGCCTAGGTATAAGAAACTAAGGAATAAGGTAACAAATGAGCTACGAAACAGTGTGCAAGATTACTATCAAAGTTTAAAAGAAGAAGACTAAGGTAATCCAAAGACGATGTGGAAACGATAAATAAAGTGTGAAACAAATTTAAAACTTCTGATCCTTTAAATTCAGAATTGGGAAGAGCAATTCAAAACCGTAAAGCGAAAGATATAAAACGGTTTAGGGGCGATATTTAAACTCAAAAACATCATTTCCTAGAAACAATTGGCAACTGTTTATCGAGCATTAATTGAAAGCCATCTTAGATATTGCAGCGTCATTTGGGGAAGTCTGTCAAATATGGAATCCCTACAGAGGTTGCAAAACAGGGCACGCAGACTGATTGAATGTGCAAAGCACAAAGATGGCTGGGTATGTGATTGGTTCAATCTACAAAATCTAACAAAATATGACAGGCTAATTACTACAAGCAAAGTAAACAACGGACTCTGCCCAGAGAACCTCAAAAATAAATTCGAATTTTTCAAAATATAACACAAGAAAAATTGATGATTTCGAAATTCCTCTGCTTCGTCTTGAATACAGCAAAAGGTCTTTTGGATACCAAGGAGCAAGTACATGGAACGAGATCCCAAAACAAATACGAGATGCCGCCTCATTGAGCTCCTTTAAAGTAAGATTAAAAGAGTTCTTGAGGTAGAGCGACGCAAACACGACCCCTTGGAAGAGCAGCTTTAGTTACTTTTTTTAGTTAATTTGTCAAATAGCTGATAAGGTATTGTGTTTAAATAAGAGTGAAAAGGTAAATAAAATAATCCAGTATTTGCTTCAGCTTCATCCCAATTTGTTGAAATCCCCCCAAATTACGAGTCAGAACAAACTTTAGCATTGGCATTGGCATCTCTGGTTTGGCTTTCTCCTGGCGTTCGCATACAAGAACAAGGATAACAACTTGAGCCAGTGATTGATAAAACCCTCCTCGTATAAGCCTCATCTAAAAATTTCCTAAATTGATCAGCCTCCAGGTGCCTAGTTAGAGAAAAGAATTTGTGGTATTCTTGAAAGAGAACTGGTGGTATTCTGAATAGCAAAATACCCTCCATGTTCTGGTCGTGCAACTTGGTGAAAGCGAATCAACAAATCAGCGAACCGGCGAACGCGACCAGTCGCTCAGTAGTTCAACTGAGTTGAATTATTCAGCGAATGGTCGCCCACTCGCAGCGAACGAAGAAGTTCAGTTTGCGCATGCTCCAATGTCCATTCGCTCAATCGCGCGACCAGAGCGAATCAAGTGGAAACCGGCCTTTAAGTCTTTAATTCTAAACTACTAACTTGAGTCTGCAAAGATTATTTCAATTTTATTCAAATTATTTCAATAATTTTATTCAAAAAGAACATTTTCCTTGTCACTCTTAAGTCACTTCAAAGTCACTTGTAAGGGACCCACAGGGAAGTATCCTGGTGGCACGCCTAACCTATGAAATATAGTAATAAAACCATTTTGATATATGTATATTGTTGCCGTTGTTAGCGTATTCAAATGTCTGCGTTTTCGGTGTTTACACTGGAAACGGAGCGTATTCAATACGCACTTTATTCAAAAGTGTCCGTTTTCATTTGCGCATTCATATGACTCCTTTTTCGTAGCAGAGCAATGTGAACACAAGGCAAAAACGGATTAGTTTGACTCCGTTTTATGAAAACAGAGTAGTGTCAACGGGCTCTTAGTTTGCCTTTTTATTATACGATTATTTTAGTCGTATTCAGTAAACCACGTTCGCTAGTTACAAATTATCAATGTGTTAGAGAGGTCTGTAATCGTAGATTAACAAAATCGAACATGGAAAGTTTTCATCAGATTTTCAGAATTACTGATGATCAAATCTTTCATGGTAACTCCTCTAGGTTATATTGGAATCACAACAATGGGCTGTTTCCAGTTCATATGGCTTTTTATGGCATTCAAGTGCAGTGTATTTCGCCTGGCTGCTTCTCAAGTCAACAAAAATCAAATGTCGCGTAAGTGAACTTTCTATTTTTCACTTTACATTAATGTTAAATCTGATGTACTGAACTTAACTTTTGCTAGAGATCAAGGGCATTCAAATCTTAAAAGTCTAATGAATTTGCCATTCGAATTTGTTGGTTTTAGATATTAGATATAGAGACATCTACCAAGCTGACCTTATGGCCTCTTTAAATGAGCAAATTTATCCCACCTTGCCGCCAATAAGCTGGTAAGTGGGATGAAGTTGTCGCATGTTTGCATACAAATTCTATCCTTCTAGCTTATGGCTCCTTTTTTCCCACCTCCCAGCTTTCCCTTGATACTGCAACACGTAATTTTTTGTTATTGCATTCGAACGCATGCGCAAAGATAAGAATTTTATCCTATCTCCCAACCCACCTGTGTGTTCTACATGGGATAATTTCATCCAAAGCCATGGGATCATACAGAATGAGCGCAGGATCTCATTTTACCCGGATAAAGCGTTTCTCGTAAAATAAATGTAAGGTAGAAATTATTAATTTCACTTGGATCTCACCTCCCAGCCAGGGTAGCCAGATTGGCTTTTGCAGGCCAAATTTTCCAATTTTGGCTCTTTTCAGAAACAAATTGCCTTGCAAATTTGTTGTTGGCCTATTTCTTAAAGTTGGTCGTTTTGGGCTTTTTCAGCAGAAATTTTGTGGACAGTCCTTCGTTTTGTATAAACTTTAACACCCTAAGTAATAAGCAAATTTTTAATTGAAATAGGAATGCTGCACAATTTTGAGCCAAATGTCAAACGTAACAACCTGACTTAACGATTAGCAAAGAAATGTTTCTGGAGGCGCATGCGTGAAGATATTACGCTTGTGCAGTATATTTTTTGGATTTTTAGCCCTTTTTATGACCAATTTTGGGTTTCTTTTGTAAACCCGATCTGGCAACCATGCTCCTAGCCCAAAAGCTAGAAGCTGGATCATTTTGCTCATACAATCAAACTTGCGTTAGGCAGTGGGCTAATCATTTTATTAACAAAGCTGCGAAGAAATACTGTGATGCATCCTTTGTTATGTTTATGAAGCCCTTCAATAACATTGGATGAATCTCCGTATGATTTCCCTGCCTCTCGTAATATAGCTGCTTTACTAAGAAAATCACCATTCTCTTCTACGATAACATCTTAAATTCTCTTGCTTTATTCAGCTTTGATACAAACTGGTCCCGGTGCAGTTAAATATTTGAGATCTGGTACATCTTCACAATACCTGTACAGAGTTTCAAATACTGACTTCTTCGGCTACAAAAAAAGTGATGAACCTTCACACAACCAAGTTGAAATATTGGCATACTTTTTGCCGAAGGATACTGGCCAACACGTATTCACTGGAACTTTTTCAAAATCTTCTTCTTTTAGCATTTATGCTAACCATACAACCAAGGCATCAACTACAAGCACAAGGTAAATTTTACCTTAGACTTAGCAATCGGGGAGGGCTAGTCGTAGGCCATGTTAAAATCATGGGGCCCATGAATATCATTTTTGTAATAGGTATTTTGTTAGTAAGGTCTATCGGGCTAAGATGGGTAAGATTTAGACTATTTTAAAATTATACAAAGAGTATATTTTTCAAAATTGGCACACAGTACATCAAAGGTTTTTTGGTTTATATATTTAATTGTTAAAAAAATCAGATATTATAGCCTAGCCTTCAACTGCTAAGGGCTAAGACGAGAGACAGTCTTGTTCACTAAAGATGCCCTCAGACCCGATTAGCAAAGGCATTCAAAGATATTTTTCATTTGAGTTTTTCTGGCAAACATGAAAAACATTTTCAAACCGTGCATGACACCAAATGTGGCTAGAATTTTTTCAATTTCGTTACCAAACAATTTTCCACAATGATTCATGTCCCACTTTTTTCATTGTCATTTTTTTGTAGATGTTGATATTGAAATTGCAGATTCACCAATTTCTGCACCAATTTTTGCCTAGATATGAAGTAAAGTGACAAAAAGTCGAACATAAAGACACTCTTTTACTTGATTAGCTTTAAGTAAGATTTGTCTGATAAGGTCCATCTCAGTTTTTCATAGGGCCCGAAATGCCCCCGTTAGGGCACTACATATGGTAGGTAATTTTTGAGGCCATGGTAAGTAAGTACACTCATTTTATCAGGGTGGTAAGTTCTACACTTGGGTACTGTAGTAGGGTAGGTCCCAGGCCCCCTGGGCAACGCGTAGACACCATGTAAACACGTGTGTGAATAGAGATGAGTTTGCTTGCTGTATGAAGTCTCATGTCTTGCCTTGGCATTCCACCTCAATATACGTAAATATTATAGGTACAGTACCTAAATAAAAGAGTCGATGATCGACCACTCTCCGACTGTTGGATTCGACTCCTTTCAGGGGCTTTGTCTGGTGCCCAAGAGTATAATGAATAAGCTCTTGTAATTTTGATTAACTTTAATGCCAGCGTTGTAAGAACTATTCTTTACAATTCTATCTGTGGAACGAGTCATGGAGACTTCTGGCGTATGTCGGGTTTTCGTACACGGAGATGGTAATATATATGAATCAACGACTTCATGATAATTAGAGGTTCGGCAAGGATGACAGTTTAATAAATATTTTCTGCAACCATTCATTTTTAAAAATCCAAGTAGGCTGGTTTTCCAACGGGAAGTTGAATATGATGAAATGTTTTTTCCTAGCCCATCGCTGTCGCTGTATCTACGAGCAGATTTTCGGTACAAAATCGAAATGTTGCTCCCCAGCACAAATTTTGCCCGAATTGGTGTGACATTTCCCAATGGTTCAATATGTGACCCCATTGACAATAGAAGCCTTCACCGCAATATTGGTAAGTCATTAGATTTTTTAAAGACTTTTGCTTATCTCCGAAAAGAACAAAGATATCGCGTACATATATTATGCATTTGTATTTGTAATACTCGATTCCTATGAATGAATGAATGAATGAACGAATGAATGAATGAATGAATGAATGAAAGAATGAATGAATGAATGAATGAATGAGCGAATGAACGAATGAATGAATGAATGAATGAATGAATGAATGAATGAATGAATGAATGAATGAATCAATCAATCAATCAATCAATCAATCAATCAATCAATCAATCAATGCACTGCATATCAATCAATACAATCAATCAATCGACCTTCACTGCATAAATTCTTGGAAACGCATCCAGATCCTTAAAGCCGTAAGGGTTGCCAATTTACACGAAAAAATGCAAAACGCATCTTATGCTGAAGACGCAAAATTAATTGCCAAATCCGTAGGCCACGTCTAGAAGTAGGGTCGAGGCCTTGGACCCGCAAATCTATGATAGGACCCTTTGAAGAGTTATCGATAAATAATTAATCGATAAATAATTAATCGATAAATAATTAATCGTGTTGTAAAATGTTGCTAACGATTCACAGGACCTTTTAAAAGCAGAGGATGGCCAATAAATGGTGCGACGTAAATCGGTTAATTAAATCTTTCCTTCTTTTCTTTCGATGAAATCGTCCCGGCAGCTACATAACTTGCATGCTAACAACGGCATAATCAGGGCCTAAAATAAGAGATTTTTACAGATCCACATTTTTTATAAAAATTGGGCGTGGTACTTTGCTGGGATTGTCATCATGGGGGTGGCAAAGATAGAAACTGCCATCATAGTGCAAATAGCATATCCTAATTGGGCAAATTCTTAAAATGAATGAAGTATAAGTAGCAAAAGCTGATTCTTTACATTATATTTGGGTTAATAAGAAAATTAGCTACATATAGCGATGTCTTAATATGTGAGCAAAAAGTTAGCGAAAAGAAACTCTTTTACATGGTTTGTTCGGATCTCTGTCAAAGTTATTTTTTTCCTTTCACCTTCAAAAACTCCCTTAAATCAGCCTTGCTTCCCAGACTTTGGTATTTTTTGGTTTTTTGAAACCATATCCTTGCAGCTTTTCTCGGAACTCGAAACTTGCGAGATCTATTTGATAAGTTTTCTGGAGCTATGCTGCTTTCCCCACCTGCTTCTATTTTGTTGTAGGTGGGAATCAGCCTCTCTGCATCGACAGAATTAGGGATTGCTGCGATGTCCGGGACAAAAGCTGGGTGAAGCTTTCTTAAGTCTTGTTTACTTATGGAAAAATCTTAACTGCATTCAGCCCATCAAATTCTTTGCCATCAAATCTGTTCTTCAAAAAGCTTTGATACTTTGAACGAAAACCTCGTTACAGATGGCAAATAAACTTTTCTCTCACCGATGTACAAATTGTGCTTGTTTCTTCTTATTCTCTTTTCGCCCAGTTCGAAAGCATAATATTTACCCCCATCTTGTTGGTAATGCAGAAACCATGCACCAGATTTCAATTTTGGAATTATGCCAAATTCGTCAAAAGATTGTGCTAGATTTGCAAAAATTATGCTAGATTTCAAATCAAGGCAACCCTACTCGAGAAAGAGGCTAATGCATGCTCAGAATATCAAAAGTGGCCAGAGTTGCAATTTTGCCTTTTTGACAACCCAGTGGTCTCATTCTTCATAAACAAAAAGGCAATTTAGATCTATGGTTTGATGGCCAAATTTCTCCATTTTGGCAGTTTCTCAAAACCCCTTGGCCGTCATAAACTGATTTGGCCGAGGAAGCAAAATTTGGCTGAATTCTGGCAGCATGTTGCAAAAAACAACGAAAATGCAAAGGAAACAAAAATGTCTGCACAGATAATATTCAAAAAAATTTAAAATAATTTCAAAATTGCAAATGATGAATGATGAAACAAAGCAAAAGATAACAGACAGTTTTAGATCAAAGCAAGTGAAAACCCTTGTAACCTACAAAGCAAATTTTGATTACGGTATCACTCCCAATAATTAGCAAAAATTTAGCTTTTTTGTATACTGCGTTTAGCTGGCTGCATTTGGCTGCCAACGACAAAATATGTGGCTGCCAACCATTCAAAACAACTGGCAATATCCTAAAGGTGGAGGTGGAAAGTCACAATTTACTCCCAAATAAAACCACAGATGCTGGTGTAAAGTGTTTGCATTAGGTAACGATAGACAATGGATCAATGGAAACAATGTTTCTTTTAAATAATATCAGGATTATGCCAGAGTTATGCTAGATTCCAAATTATGCTAGTTTTTATGCTAAATGACGATTTTTGGCCAATATCATGTTAATATTACGCTAGATCAGGTCATACTTGCACCAGCCCACAAGGGAGTGGCTGGAACGGGACTAGCAGGCTTGCCCCTAAATTTTTTACGGCCACGCCCTTTGAAACACCGGAAACCACTCCTTTCAGAAAGTATTTGCTTTTTTCTGTTCTTATTCTTGAACATAACGATTTCGAGAAGATTTCAATTAACATAAAAATACAAAACCAAGTGAGATAAAATACAAATTTATCTTTGACCACACAAGTTTAAGCACCATCAAAAAAAACAAAAACGTGTTCCCAGCAGAACTGCTACTAATGCGTTCGTTAGCGTAAACTTTCAAAACATTTTCTAACCCATTGTTGCAAGGACTATAGTCCCAGTTATGCAACATTCCCAATTGAATGTTCCTCTCAGCCAGGGCCGCACTAAGGACTTTGGGGGCCCTGGGCTCACTGGTGTTATGGGCCCCTACTAAGTATGCAAAGGTGCTGAGAGAAGATACTTGCAGACAGAATTAAAGAGGCATATGATCAATGGATTAGGTTATTATATAACTAAAAACAAACAAAACAGAACTACAGCAAATCTCGAAAAAGGCAAACAGAAAATTGATTTAACGAGTTGTAAAACAAGTAAATAGGTTCTAAAATTTGTGTTTTCTTGCCTTAGTAAGTGGAAATTTTCTACTAAGTTTTTGAACATCGAATTTTCTTAAAATATCCGTATTGGATGCCATCAAACACAGTGCCACGTTTCTTTCTTGTGACATTGTTGAACGAAACTGGTTCTTAACTCTTTTCAAAATGGAGAAGCTTCTTTCTCCAGAGGCAACACTGCAAGGCAATGTTAACAATATCCTCAAAGCGATCATAACATTGGGAAATGTGGCTTGGGTATTGTTATTCCTGACAAGGTTAAGAAAAAACTGCCCAGTTGATTTTTTTTAAGCTCTTGCTCTTTCATTCCTTTCCCTCTGCTGACTCTTTCTTACCCTTGCGTTTGTTTTTTACATTCTCTCACTTTGGTTATGTATTTCTGAAGCGGTTCCTTAGCATAATTGAAAAATTGCATCGTGCTCCATATCATCATCAAAGTGCCCTGGATATGCATGTGTTAAGGCCTTGCACCTTTCTGAAATTTCTTCTGTTCGTAATGCACAGATAAACCCAAATCTCTGTTCAATAACATCATAGCTAGCTTTTCGCATGGAAAGTTCTGTTTGTAAGCTGTCGATGATTGGCAAATACGTGCCAATGTAAAATTTCTCTCCACCAACTAACTCCATTTCTTTTGTTGCACTTTCGTCTGCCAGTCTCGGTCTTTTCTTTTTCCTTTTCATTTCATCTTTGAATTGCTGTTCGGTGCTGTCTAGAAACGTTTTGGCCTTATCAAGATACCGTTGGTATTCTTCTCTATTTCGCATCCCCGAAATGAATAGCTCAAGACTGTTCAATAGATCGATTGCAGAAGGCATCGTTAGGCTCACTGCTTGAAGTGACAAGTTACTTATGTGTATTCGCTTTAGAAGATCATTCCAAAACACAGCCATCAACGCAAATTCCAAAGATTCGAGTTTTTCTGATAAGGATGTTGCGTCATTTTTAGTGGACAATGTTTGATCTTCATAAAGTGCAATTTCATCCAGAGTTTCTTTTATAGCTGTGGGATTGACTTCAAAACCTTTTCATTCGATGCTTCACGATCTTTTTTCAATTTCTTCTTTTTTGCTCCACTCGGATATCTTTCACTCATATTGAAAACGTAAAGTGTGCATGCAGACAAGCCAAAAATTAGTTTTCTCAAAAAGGAAGAGTCAGTGGCAAGTTTTGCTCGGCTTCGTGTTTGAACAATAAACAGGAAATATCTTTCTCAAAGGCTGAATAAAGCATAGAGTATTGACACATATTCTAATATCAGATTTTGAGAAGTATTGTTCACGAGATGAAGTGATACTACGCAAAGAATATGTTTAATTAGTCAGGCTTGCCACCCTCATATGCCAACACGTCGGCTGTGATACTCATTATGTGTAACGTTTTAACATTAGTAAACTTCAGTAATTATTGTTATTATGTTCAGCTAGATCTTTGATTATGTTGCGTGTTAATGTCACATGTTTGTTTGTCGCGCTGTTGTGTTAGTAACTCCCTTTCCGGGAAATGTGCGTCACTGTCATCGTGTTGTGTGATGTTTCACAGTGTTCCTTTGTTTGTGTTTTAATATAATGTAACCCAACTTAGAATAATTTAGTCTTACTGTTTTAACGATAAACATAACATCAAAGAACGAGTATCTCTTGTGTGCTATCTACTTGGGGCTAGGCCCGTTGGCCTAGCCCATCGCTCAGCCAACGACCTGATACTTCACCGTCATGACAAGAACCTTATCGTTACATTTGCAGGTTTCTTCTTATGACGGTGAAGTATCAGGTCGTTGGCTGAGCGATGGGCTAGGCCAACGGGCCTAGCCCCAAGTAGATAGCACACAAGAGATACTCGTTCTTTGATGTTATGTTTATCGTTAAAACAGTAAGACTAAATTATTCTAAGTTGGGTTACATTATATTAAAACACAAACAAAGGAACACTGTGAAACATCACACAACACGATGACAGTGACGCACATTTCCCGGAAAGGGAGTTACTAACACAACAGCGCGACAAACAAACATGTGACATTAACACGCAACATAATCAAAGATCTAGCTGAACATAATAACAATAATTACTGAAGTTTACTAATGTTAAAACGTTACATATGGACCGCATGATGTTTGCTTAATTTCTCTAACACAAAGGTTCGTTTTCTTAAACTCCATTTCCACAACTATTTTAAAAATCCCTCAGAAAATTTGGGGCCCCCAACTGGTTGTGGGCCCCCGGGCCCGGTGGGCCCGGTGGTTAGTGCGGCCCTGCTCTCAGCTACCACCGAGAGGCTTATCAGCGTTCAGCTGCTGCAGCCCTGAGAGGAATCTTTCCAATGCTTCTCCAATTCAAAACACCTTTGTTGAAATGGTTTATAACTTTTTTTAAATCTACTGAAAGATATCACATAAAAACCCCAAAATACATTACGGGCAGGAAATCATAATCTTGGTCTTGGTCTTAAGGCTAAGTGTCTTTTTTGAAGCAAGTCATAAAAGCAAACTAAATTGAGATGATGTCTTGAAGTTAAAGCTGTATACAGAGTCCATCTTACTTCAAAATTGCACACAACAATATCCTAAAGAGCAATTGATTTTTCTCCGCATGTACTGAAGCTTCGAGCTCTGAAGTTTCTCAATTCTTCTTTATTATCCATTGCTTTTTCTCTTATCGCAATTTTCGTATAAAAAATGAGTGCAATTCATAAGGCTGGGATTGGGCATTCATGGCGAATTGGAAAAATATTCCCATTTCTTTCTTAGACGTTTCGATTGGTATTTTATGCTGCACTTTTAAGAACATGCATTATTTACAAATCCACACTTTCTACAATTATCCTAATACACGTGATAGAAAAATGCGGAACGAGCAAGGAAAGTTACAGATAAACAAGAGTGATTAGGTAAGGAAAATCAAACGAATGGACTAGAGTGAAAGGCCTAAAATTAGCAGTATTACAGTGTGAACAGGGCCTAAATGCTCAACATAGCATTTTTGAAGGAAATCTGCTGGGGGAGGAAAATTAAACAATTGGAAATGAAGTTGCTCCTCAACTTAGTTTGTTAAAATTAGCAGTATTACAGTGTGAACAGGGCCTAAATGCTCAACATAGCATTTTTGAAGGAAATCTGCTGGGGGAGGACAATTAAACAATTGGAAATGAAGTTGCTCCTCAACTTAGTTTGTTAAAATTAGCAGTATTACAGTGTGAACAGGGCCTAAATGCTCAACATAGCATTTTTGAAGGAAATCTGCTGGGGGAGGACAATTAAACAATTGGAAATGAAGTTGCTCCTCAACTTAGTTTGTTAAAATTAGCAGTATTACAGTGTGAACAGGGCCTAAATGCTCAACATAGCACTTTTGAAGGAAATCTGCTGGGGGAGGAAAATTAAACAATTGGAAATGAAGTTGCTCCTCAACTTAGTTTGCTAAAAAAGACTGCCGGACGGGTAAGGTTAAATGGCAGTCTCTAAAGGAAAAGATTAACTCTTGCTCGTGAAAATATGATGCCCTCCATACGGCCCGAGCCCTCCATACCCCCACAATTTCCGCATCTGTTCGTAGTTTAGATTTGCCCGCACAGTAGTATGAATGCCTTAGGTTTGATCTTGATAAAAAAGAGAAAATTGTATCGCTTGGATCCCGTGTCGAGTGAGTCGAATTAGTGCATTATGCCGTTATAACATCTTCTGCTTAGCCATTTTTAAAAGGGCTAGTAAATTTAAAGGCTGGGCCGTCGAGAGGAGGGCCGGGACAAATTGCCCTGGAGTCTTGAGGTCTAAGGGGTCACTAAAAGCATGTTTACTCTTCTTAAATAATGAATTCCACTTTGAGAATGGGATTAATCAAACATAACGAATATATGCCTTAAATGAATTAAAACGTTTAAAAGAAATAAAATATTTATTGCACTAAGAGACACGATGATAACCAAAGGCTTTTTAGTTGTGTAGAAGACTTGTTAGGGGTTGTAAGTTGTTTCTCTTTTTTCAGATTTGTATGACAGAAATTTCCTTCTACGACATGATTACGATCGGGCAGGGGTCGATCAAAACGTTAGCTCGTTTTTTGACAACTTCATAAGCACAATGCCTTTTGAACCTCTGGATTACTTCTACACAAATTATATATCGAGTGGAGAAAGCGACAAAGCCACTCTTTACAGTGGATTGGTCATTCCACCATACACGAGCAACTATAGTTTTGAACTCTCGTGTCAAGTATCCTGCAAATTCCAACTCTCATTGGGAGCAGAGAGTGTTTTGTAAGTATTGCATTTAAGACCGACCATTGACCAGCATCCTTTGCGATCGTTTGTTGATATTTTTCCACACGTTGTGACCCAGTGTTTCAAGCAGCGTGCCGCAGTCTATCTATAACTTTTTCTTTTCGAGGCTTGCTTAGCGTTTAATGCAGGGACCACCGAACATATCACAAATTGAAGCGGAGAGGGGGGGGCACAAAATTTTTTTGGGGAAAGGGCTAAGCAAAGTAAAAACCAAAAGCAGGATTAATAATTATGTGGGTAGAGGCACTATGTCCCGACGCATTTCACTGCCCATTTAAATTCCTATTGGTTAGACGATACAATAGACCTATTGTTACGGAGCCAATAGACTAATATTCAATTCTTTCTCGAATTCAAACACTGTTGCTGTTTAAACACTATTCTCGAAGTCAGAACGGTTGATTGACGGGACATAGTGCCTTTTAGTGCCATTTGTACTTGTTATATAAGAGGAGGAAGTGTTATATCTACGTTTCTTCGGGGGGTTAGTCGGGACGGTTAGCTTTAGAGGAGTGTTGTCTTTTCTTATCTAGACAACTTGTAGGCTTTTCGATAAACGACCTCTTCTCTAGTTTGTTTTTTCAATTGGAAATAATCCCCAGTTTATTCCATTTTGGGATTTGGATTTATCGGCACTCGATTTGTACGCAAATGTAATTTGAAGTCATTTTTAGAAGAAAATTGCCTTTTTTCACAGGCTTCTTACCGGAAATGGAGTCACGCCCGTGGGAGTATTGGACAGATCCTCGTTTTGCATCCGGGTATGGCTTATTGGCGCTGGATCATTAAAAATTAACCGATACGACAAATATGAGCAATTCATTTCAACAGTCACTTTCAGTTCAAACGTATTACCTTCAGGTGTGTATGTCAAATGATTGGTTTGAAGCATTTTCATTTATTCATTTCATTTCATTTTAAATATTTATACAGATTTACAGATTTCAGTAATAAAGAAATAACTGTTTTACAAATCGACCTGTGCAAAAACAGAAAAGCCTAAATTAAAGAGAATTACAATGTACAATAAGTTAAAATCAAAAAGAGCATAACAGGACTGAATGTAGAAATAAAATGTACCTCTCATATGGAATTTTTAAATGTAGCAAGGGACGGTGCCAATTTAGTTTCCTTATTCAGCTCATTCCATAATTTTGCTCCACGATATGAAAATGCTTTTTGGCCTGTGCATGTTCTTAAAAGAGGTATTTTTTATAAAGTTAATGTTCCCCAGGGTATTATACAAAATGTGTCCTGAACATCTAAATCGTCCTTGCATAGAAATTTGCAATAGTACCTTAAAAACAGGCTGATATTACGCGTAGAATCATCAACGAAAAGCGGAATATTGCTTCAATTTGGTTCTATTTCAGATATGATGTTTCATTTTCTGGCCTTTTGCCATTGTGCAGGTACATGTTTAAACAAAAGCCTGTGCTGTGGAAAATTTTTGAAAATTACATCACAATTTAATTCTCGGAAAACTTTGCACAAATTGAAACGTAGTTTGTGGTATACAGTAAAAAACCCGTGTATAAGAACCTGGTTTTTTCAATTAGCCTAAACAGGTTTTTATATGTCACTTAGATGTCTCTGAAATGTGATTTAGAATAAAAGGTCTACATGTGGAAAACTTGGAAGAAAAATTAAAATTAGAATTTTGTACTCTGCAAATGCTGAATATTAAGAGAATTTATTAAATTGATGGAAACAATAGACACAGTATTGTACCTTGGCTTCAAAGAAAAATTGTTTTGCCAACTTAATTTCAGATATAAGCAGATAATTATACTTTACTCAACAGTTTCCACCTAGAAACCTTTACAGCAGCTCCACTCTTCACTGGTAAGAACCTAACTAGAAATTTTAGCCTGAAAAGGTTCTTATGTGTAGGAGGCCTAAATTTGAAATTTGGGTCACTTCCAATGGCAACTAAAACTGGGATTCAGAGATTGGTTTTCTAAAGGTGCAATGGTAACTCTCGCCAGAGCAGAGAGGGTGCCCCGAAATTGAACCAGGGGGGCTAAGAATCAAGTTTAGTGGCATAAGAAGACCTACCCTTGCAATGCCTTTTCTCCGTTCTGCATAAGAAAAACCCACTATGGTTGGGTCCGAGGCTTTTGAAAAGAAAATTTTAAAAATTGAGCCTTCTAGAATGGCTAAAAATGCACCCCCCCCCCCCCCCGACTAAAATATAAAGAACTAATATACTGCTAAGAATATATAATTCGATGACTCAACTCTATTAATAGAAATTGGGGAAAGAAAGAAATTCTGACCTTTGGTTGAAAGAGCACATCGGTGTGAATAACAAGAGGCTTTGATATTGATTGAGAGGATTTTACTTCCTGAACATAAATATGCATCTTCTTTCTCTCGAGTATTATCAGCAGGCTATGTTTACGCATCCAAAATGTAGGCTTTGTAATGATACAGAACGTCATCTACTGAATTGATGCAAATATTAGACAAACAATAGAAATATATTTAAATAAGTAAGTAAATAGATCAAATAAAATCAAGCAGCCTATAAACGGTTTTTTTCTCTTTAGTTGATATTCTTTTTTCAAAAATAGTAAAAAAGACGGTCAAAGAATTTCTATCCCTGAAAAAGTGGCTTTGAGCCTCTGTTCCGCTACTGCCTCACTTGACGGACGCTACAACAGAGGCAGTAGCAAACAGGGGCTCATGTAGTAGGTCTCTCTCATGTGACATATGCAATGATATAGAAGCGCCGAAGGCGCTAGATGTCTAACTGGGCATAATTGCCCATTGAGCTGGTGAGGCAAAATCACTCAAGCGGTAAAAGGGCAAAAAGACGATTCCGCATAAGGGCTCAGTACAGGACATCGCAGTTTGACGAAGAAAAACCAAGATTATCGAAAATTAGCATAATTTTGAAAGGTTAGTTATACTTTGCTAGCTTGCCGTATTAACTTCAAAAGTTTTAAGCCATAAATTGTGTTGTTAAATAGGGTTTCAAGATTTTTAAAATATTTATTGCTGCGGCGCTCGCACGGTCCACTCTGGCCTAGGCAATGTTTACCTTTTCAGGTAGACTGCTTTCGGGTTTATTTGGAAAAAACCAAATATAATTTCAAAATTGGGTTTATTTTGTATTTTATAAGTTGAAGGGTAGATGTAAGCAAGTACTCTTAGTCTTATATCATTATGACAACTTGTTAAATGAATACTCCCCTACTTCGGCAACCCCCTGCATATGACTTCTGGTAAAAATTTCAGATGTAAAGAGTGAAAAATTTTATGATAAATATCCATTTCAAGTTTTTCCTATGACAAGACCTTCCCTCCTAACATTCATCAGCAAATCAGACTTTTATTTACGGACATCAGGATGTTGTAGGAAGGGGGCGTGGCTGAATCAGGATTGAAGATGACCTCTTTTACCACTGTTCCTTAATGTTACGATAAAAAATTAACACAAGATTTTTGTATAAGCGCGACATTTTTGTAAATAAGCCCAAAAATAATCTTCCTAGAAATATAAATATTCTCTAAACCAGAGTGCCCTTATCAACGCCACGGTAAAAAAATATTTTAAAAATCTCAAAACCCGTGTACAAACAAAAATTATGGCTTAAAACCTTCTAAATGCATACGGTAAGCTGACAAAATATATGTTACCTTCCTAAATTAAATAGATTTTCTAAAATTTTTGGTTTCGTTTGCCAGCTTCGGATTTTCCCATTCTGAGCCCTTATGCGGAATCGTCTTTGTGCCCTTTTACCGCATGAGTGATTTTGCCTCACTTGAGAACAATAGAGTTAGACATCTAGCGACTTCGTCGCTTATATATCATTGGACATATGCCTAGTAACTCAATACGAGGTTATCATAAGCAATTATCATAAGGTGCGCATAGGAATTAGGACATAAAGCAAGGATATAGTTACAAATTTGCTCGTTATATTGCAGTGAAATGTAGCAGCGGATTTCTTTGATGAATAGCGACCGATTTGTCATTATCTAGATGGTTCTTTTAAACTCTAGGTGCTGTTTGAAACGCTATTGGAAATGCCCTTTTGTAAACGTATATTGATAAGTTCATTCGTGAACCGTTTTGTACACTTTAGACAGTCCAACAATTGCTTGTGACAACTTTCTAGCATCAAAGATGACGGCAAACTACATTTTCTGCTATTAAAATTTTTGGAAAAATTTCTTGTTCTGCGAAATTTGTTATGATGAAGTTGACAAATTTTGTTTTAAATTTCAGCTCAGACAAGCTACACAATTCTTACTCCACAACTTGCAGTGCACAATGCAACAGCTTTGAGTGTTTCACTTTCATCTGGGACAAGACTCAGTCACGCTGACAGATGGACTCCTATAACAAATTACGAAATTCTTTGCTTCGATGATACAAGGACCGTATTGATAGAGACGTTCCATATTGCTACTTCGCTCACACAAAATAGACTTTTGGTTGGTCTTAATAACTATACCTATTACGAATGTTTTGCTAATCATTTTGGAACTATCAACGGCATTACTCGTGATAGTGATCCTGCAATAAAACGGAATTACAGTTTCCAATCAAGCTATTCTCGATATCGAACGGGAGAGAATGGTAAGGATGGTTTTTTAATGCAATTTTACGATATTGGTAATATCATAGTACCATTTAATTATCCCGTGTGTCATGTGCACATGTCATGTCATGTCATGTCATGTCATGTCATGTCATGTCATGTCATGTCATGTCATGTCATGTCATGTCATGTCATGTCATGTCATGTCATGTCATGTCATGTCATGTCATGTCATGTCATGTCATGTCATGTCATGTCTTAAGTCACTATATCACAATGTTTCATATTAGTAGCAACTATTATCATATGAAACCATATTATGTCATGACATAACAATTTTCTTATTAATTAGTTCCTAGTGCAGAGCCACGGAACCTCAGAGGTGAGCGCCCAGGGCTTGGACAAATCAGAATAGAATGGGACGCCATACCCGTGGAAAACCACGAAGGTAGTCTGACCTACAAGATTTATTATCGCAAGAAATCAGACTCGCCAGACTGGACTTCAACTACCCGGACATATTTGTACCACACTTTCCGCAGCCTTGAATTGGAGTTTTACCAGTTCAAGGTTTGTGGTATTACAGGAGCAGGCGAAGGGCCATGTAGCCAAGTGATTGAAATGCGACCTTTGGCTAGAAGTGAGCTACCCTATATTGGTTCTAATTACTCATTATGTTTTCATTGGTCAAAAGCTTTTACATGTGAAGTACAAATACGCTATGTTTAATTGATAAAACGTTTTCGATTAGGAATGAATTCAAATCACGGACATTCATAGTTGTTGACAATATTTTCTTTTGCTGAAGCCACTGACAACTGTTTAAATCAAGCTCAATGTTACATTTGTCACCGACCGCTTTCCCAGTACCACATATGATCCATGTGACCACGGTCCTTAGGCTCCTTTCCGTGTGTCTAAGAGAAAACAAGTTACTGCTAACCAATTTGATACTGCGAGATCCCCCATGACATCAAAAATGTAGCAATTATGTTTTGAGATCATTTCGAGTTGCGCACTTTTAGTCCAGTCATTCGGTTGTTTGACTTGGAATAAATTGCAACAGAAATGGTTTCAAGTGTTTTGAGTTCCTTATTCTACCGAAAACAACATATCAAAAACTTACCACAAAGGGTTGAGGCAATTTCCCAGAATACCACTGCTCATTTTGAGAGGTAAACCCCAAAAGCTTCCCTAAATTTTCATAAATGTTGAAAAATCTAATATTTGCACACTACAGTGCTACAGTTATAATTTTGCAATTTTAATGAAAAAATACTTTCTATATAGGAAAGGTGTTTTAAAAATAATTTTAGACAAAATTTTTATTGTAATTTGATCCAAAATGGTTGCCTTAAATCCAAGATGGCTGCAGTTGTTTGGGAAAAATGGGTCTTAAATGTTTCTTTATGCAGTCAAACACAGGTCTAGCACTTCTGATGAGTTTTTACATGCATTAGATACAAGAAAAGTCACTGAGGCTTATTATTCTTGAAAGCTGTTTGATTCAGGGGCACATGCGCAGTGGATTTTGCATCCCACAAACAATTCCAACCACATATTGTACAGATAAAGGTGCATTGGGAGTCTGCAATGCAAGTAGAGAAAGAAGTGATGACTTGGTTGTTAAAGCTGGGGAGAAAGTTCACAAAGCCTGCCGAGATCCTTACATCAATAAGAAAAGTATCCAATCTTACAATAAGAGAAAGTAATCTATCATTGCAGAAGGTAGTAATAATAAGCGTAGCCTTAGAGCTGATCAAAATTTTGAATATAAGTTAGATTGCCTGTTCTGCAAACAGCGTATTGCAGAAAAAGAAAAACGACATAGCAAAGCTTATCAGGTGACGTGTAAGAATCGAGAATTCGATCTAAGTATTATTAATACTTGCGAGGAGCGTAATGACCAATGGGCATTGGAAGTTAAAGGACGTATAGCTTTTGTGAATGATCTACATTCAGAAGATGCTGTATATCACCAAGCTTGATATGAAATCTAGTGACGAATCATGCATTCTATCAACAATGCATTTTGTCGCAGATCAGGCCAAGCGTTACATGTCGTCTCCAATACTAACGTTTGATCAGCCGTTGTACTGGAAAGGCATTGACATTCAACGAAATGAGGACGATGAAAGCCCTTTAAAAGAAATAGTATTCCGGCTCGGTGGTCTTCACACCTCGATGAGTTTCCTTGGATCCATTGGACATCTAATGACATCTTCAGGACTGCAAACAATTTTTGAGTGTGTCTACGCTGAGAACACTGTGCCACATATGATGAGTGGGAAGAAAATCTCAAGGGCAGTGCGAGGTCATCCTTTGGTTATTGCTTCGCTGCATGCAATAATGATGTCCGAAATCTATGAATGTCCTGTAATAACAGATAATGAAGTGGAAATCGATAATTCATCAGAGCTGTTTTGCCTTGAAGATAATTTGGATTTGACTCAGATTTCCAATTTACTTGACAGTACAATCGCAGGAGAACTAACTGCAGATGATCTAGATGGAAAAGAGGTTTTCCGAAACATTCTTGAAAGAATGGAAACCTACAAAAGCAATTTGTCTTCTTCTAGGACTGCTAATCTTTGGTTCCAGTGCATGGAAATGGTAGAAATACTGTGCAAATTTATTAAAGAGCCAAAAGCAAGAGCCAGAGGTCCAACAAAGTTTTGGGACATGTTGGACATGAAAGTATTCGAAATCGAAGCTAGGACCAGCATTATGTGAGGCCATTTTATTTATCCATGCCTTATTAGGTTGCGATACCACTTCGCGCCTTTTTTCAATTGGCAAAGGTGTAGCGCTGCAGAAGTTCAAAAAAGAAGAACGATTCCAATTCCATAATGAGACGTTTAGCAGACCATCATCGACAAGAGAAGAGATCATTGCAGCAGGAGAGGAATCGTTGCTTATTTTTTATGGTGGAAAAGGATGCACGACACTCGATAAGCTTTATCTCACAAGGTTCTGTGAAAAAATTGCCACAAGTATGAAAATGGTATCACCAGAAAGCTTACCTCCAACATGAGCAGCCACGTCATTCCATTCCATGCGTGTCTATTACCAAGTTCAAGTCTGGCAAGGAAGAGACGATCTCAACCCAGAAGACTGGGGCTGGGTAGCCAAAAAAGGGAAACTCTTTCCACTTTATACCTCGAAGCCTCCTGCACCACCTAGTTTGCTAAAGCTTTTCAGGTGCAATTGCAAGAAAGAGTGTAGGAATTCCAGGTGTACATGTTACAAGAATGGACTTAAGTGCTCAGGCATGTGTGGTGAATGTCGAGGAGTTTCATGTATGAGCTGCCAAGATCCTGGGGAAATTGACACTGATTTGCAAATCGATAATATTGTTTAAAATTGCTGTTTAATATGCTGATTTTTTGAGTGACGTTCAACTTCTACTTGAAATGTACTCCTTTACCAAATTTGGTCTTGACCAAATAAAAGTTGGATTATTCAAGTCTTATGACACACAAAATAGGCGTCATAGAAGTCATGTCTATGTCATAGAAGTCACTTATGTGACGTCATAGAAATAAAAAGTAAGTGACGTCATCAATTTTTGCATAAATTTAAGGATAATTTGACACGTAATATATAAATGGAACGTTTTAAGTTACTCGGACTCGAAACGCAATTGTTGTGGTAAATTTATTAAATCTTCCCATAAATACTTTTCGGCAAAATTTTGCGGCAAAGGTGAAAAAGCACCCAAAGTTTAATACCAGTTTCTGAAAATTTGCCTCATCCTATTGTAGTAAGTTTTTAGTATGTTGTTCTTGACTGTTTGGAGATGCGAAAAAGAGTAAAATGAATTCTGTTGCAATTTATTCCAGGTTGACCAAATTTATGACATAGATTGACTGGACTATTTATCCTTGTGGAAAATGGCCCTTAAAAAGCTTCTATCACTAAAATAAAATAAGAGAAATAGTTTAGTCAAACTAAGAATTTACGGACATTTTGTTTGTTCATACCATGTCATTCTGATGCCTGTTTCTAAGAAACATAGCCTCTTTTAATCCTTGAGCAATGCAAAATACGATATCAAAAATCATTTGTGATCTAAGTATTCATGACGCTAAAAATTGTCCATGCTTTTCATCAAACTGAAGTTTGAAAAAAGTTTTCTGAACGTTTTAGGTTCTGGACGAAGTGTTAATTCATGATATCTTCTATTGCAGTCAACCAAATCGAAAGAGAAAGAAATTCTTTTTCCTTTGAAACTAACATGCTTCTGACAAACAAAGCTCTTGTTGGTCACGTCCTTGCGAAGTATAGTGTCAGATCTGTGGAGGAGTGCTTCAGGAAATGCTCCACCTGTCTCAACTCTGGTGTTTGCAAGTGCGCATCTTTCAACGTGGAACATATTCGCATTGGTTACACTAGTGTTTGTGAGCTCAACGCTGCATCTTCTGAATCAAGGCCAAAAGATCTGCTGGAGAGAGTTGGATATCAACACTTTCGAGTGTCACTGGTTTCTGTGCAAGATGCCGTTTAAGGTCCAATAGTTGGCCCGCGTAACCTGTTGAACATAACGTTTTAGGACACGCCAAGAAGGATTTGTCGTTTGCTATCAGAATATTGTGTCAACAATGAAAATTGGTTGCCTGCTAATAGAACCTCTTCTTTTCAATCACAAGTCAATGTTTTCCAACCATCTATTTCTGAAAAAAATCATGTCCGCATCTTTGTAATCCAAAATTGTCTATGTTTTATTCAAAAAATGTTTGTTTTATAAACTATTGAACTTAAAATTTGAAGAAATTCGTACAGAAAGCAGCATTTTCTGATAACAAATAGCATATTGAAATAGCAATCAACAAATTATGATTATTATTACCACTTTTAACTTCTAACAGGACATAAGCGGTGCACTCTGAGACCGCAAGCATTTCTAGAATGTAAATATCGGGTTTTAAAGTTGCATCATATTTGGTGCTTTTGACTTCTAACTTTACATAAATGGTGCACTAAGGGACTGCAAACGGTCTTAAAATTGCAATGTTCGGGTTTTGAACCTGCGTTGAATTATAGCTGATGCGTAGAACTTCTAGCAGGACATAAACGGTGCACTAAAGGACCGCAAACTGTTCGAAAATGTAATGTTCGGGTTTTGAACTAGCATTGAATAATAGCTGGTGCTTTTAATTTTAGCATTATAGATCGAGACGTGCTCCAGAATATTTCAGTTACGAAACAGTGTTGTTGCTGGCCAGATTCACTGTATATTGAATGAAAATAGACCAAAAACATACCCTAAAACCAGGAATAAAAATTGCTGAAAGCAAGACACTTTTGCATGCATTCATTGAATCAGGCAAAAAAGGACAGTGGCATTTTTGCCAGCCAGTCGAGCGTGCTTTCGTTGTAAACTTCATTATTTAGTTATAGTGATAGGTAAAAATTCCCAACCCATCTCTATCTTAATTCTATCTACGACTGGTCCACCCCTCTTTCCGCACTAAGTTTGGTTTGATGCTAAGAGACTAGATTAAACGGGTGCTATTAGAAATATGATCATAAAACGAAATATTATATATCAGTGAGCTTTGATGATTATATTATATCAATTCACCTTTAAGAAGTAGCATAGAGTGAATCTTATTGGTTGTGTGGTAATTGAGACTGGGTTCCGGATGACTAGTAGTATAAATGATAAGATATATCACATTCAAGGCACGCGAATCAAATGTCTTTTGAGTTTTTTGTGTCCTAAGCTACGCCTTTCATTCATACTACCACTCTAGTTATGCAGTCCATTAATTCCATCATGCAGTTTTAGCAAACAAGCATCAAATCCAACGACGTCAGAATCAAAAGATGTTGAGCATCAGATCCAAACCCTCGGACCATTCCCTCTGCCAGCTTCATGGGGGTTGCCTGTTTTCTTCTTTAGGTTTTCTTTCTTGCCAATTATTTTCTGTTTGCCACCTTTTCAAGTTCCGAACGCTCAATGGCGGCGCCAGCCAATACGCTCTAGGGGGGACAAAACAAAAGATTTTAGGCCACGCCCTTTTCAGCACCAGAAAACGCCCTTTTACTAACAAGGAACGCCATTTTTACCTGAAGGGAACGCCCATGACTCACTTTTCGCTATATAAAGGCAGTTTCAAAATCATGGGATTACACCACAAAAAATACGTTGCCAAAACATTACCCCTCCCCCAATATTTTCTCATCGGATTTAGACGAAATACAAAATTGATCCTGCCGAGAACTGGGGGGACGTGTCCCCCCAGTCCCCCCGTGGCGCCGCTACTGCGAAATCTCTTGACGTCAATGATCAAATCAGTCAGCGTCATTAATCATCTTGGAACTTGCTGTCACCTTTTTTAATAAATAAAGAACTACTAGATTGCATTTTTGGCAGGAATCTTTCCTTTAAGGGGGGGGGGGGGGAGGCTTTAAGTTCTTGACACTTGCCTTTCGCAATTTGCAAAGAGATTCATATCAATTTCTGGCTATAGTGCCTTATTCATGACGACATTTTACAAAGCTTGTAAAACAATTCCCAATGCAAAAAGTTAACCAGTGTTCAAGATGACTATAGAAATCGTAATAAAATGACAGTTACGAAAGAATATGAAGAAGCTTTAATTATTGTAATGCCCCTTTACTGAACCCATGCCCTTTCCACCTTGCTCCTTGGTCGTTCCGGCCTCCCTGGGTCCAATATGCATATGGGATTTACACGAGCCTAGAGGAGAGGAGCTTGTTAATTTTTGTTTTGAAAATCTTTAAATAAACCTATAGATAAAGTGGCGAGTAAAATAATTTGAACAACGTAGAAAATATCTCAGCCGCCTACCTCCTAACAAGGGATTCGGACTTTCATGTGATTCGGAACGATCCTGGTCAGGGCGGTGTTAGATTTGCAAACCGCACTGACTGCTTCATCACGGACTAGGCAAAAGCAAGCATCTAAAGCCCGTGGTGTGGAAAAGGAAGGCAGGGAGAGCAGAGGGTGATTGCTCATTTCGGTTGATTGCTGCATCAAGGAAAAGATTCAAAGATGATGGTATGTATTTGATTAATGCTCAAAACGAAAGCAATCCCATGGTTATGTACTGTTATATTACCTTCTGCTTGTAATGATCTCGAGATTCGCAAAACGAATAGGCCTAAGGCCACAGCTAGCTAAGGCAATACAAGAATTGGTCAATTAAAATAACTGCGCACACCGAGGGTTGTTATCAATGCGACCTTCAGATGATATATGAATAGCCTTGCTCCTCTGACTACCTATTATAGAAAATTTTCAAAGGTTTAACCACCTCGTTTCTGCATTTATATACATAAACAAATTTGAATGTTGGAGCCCATTGCAAATGGTTTACTACATTGTCAAGTCATTCATGATGCACGATTCATATTTGGTTTGACGTTAGTTTAGTTTAAATGTATTGTTATGAGGTCTCTGCAAGTAGAATCAACATTGTTTTAGGTATTGAAAAACTGCTTTTTAAACTTTCAGATATTAAAAATTCATATAATATGTAAGATAGTCCCATATAATATATGGCTGAAGACAGTGGCGAAGCCAGCTCTGGAGAGTTTGTCATGCACTTGGGCAAAAAAGTAAACAGGGTTTTCAGCACCACAGCAAGATACCCAAGTTAAGTAAAGGTTAGATCAGTTCCCTTGAGAAAAGTGTTTTCAGCTATTGTGAAAATACCCAGAAAAGCCTTAGGTGGGCATAAAACATTTAATAATTTGCAAACAAAAATTCAGACCTTTCTTGAGAAATATTTTGAAGAAGCCTTGGCTTTTGGTGCTAAATATGTTTTTCAAATCTGAGTTTGAAATTTTAACTTGCTTTTAATGTTAACTTGTTTTTAAACTCTGACATTCAATTTATTTATATTTACTTTTTCAAGAGCAGTTTGATTCATCTGATTAAACTGTCAGATACTGAAGGAAGGCTTTTTTAGATAACACAACATGGTTAGAATTGATTCTCACAACATTATATAAAATGTCTAAATTGTTTTGCTCTGATACATGACAAGGTAAATACACTTTTGATGACCCTTCCCTAATTCCTTACTTAGAACTATTGTACTTACAAGTACAAATAGTGTTATTTTCACAAATAAAAAAATTAATGCCCCCTAGTCAATGTTCATGCTACACCTCATTTCTTTTAAATTCATTAAATTCTTAATTTGGCAAAACAGATTATAATCAGAAAACAATACTCTCATCTTACACAACATCAATAACAAAAAAGGCCATTTTAAGATAAAGACCGAAAAGGTTAAGACGACACTAATTTCATGCCTCATTGCATCTCAAACTTGCATTGCATGTCTCTAACGAGCAACAACAATGAAGCATTTGTGTTTCTTCTACTAACAAGAAGTTCTAGAGACATTCATTCTGAATATTTCAAGCTACATATTATGGAACTTAAGCATGTATGTAAGTCCACTAGCCACTATCAAAGCATGGAATACTTTGGGCTTGCCAATTATCAGCACAGAAACAAAATTATATTAGAACCATGCAGTTTGTTTCATTGTTCAGCGTTGTCCGCCTTATTATCAAGCGCCGTAGGCCTAGTTCATGCATGTCATATCCTCGTTGACATAGGCCTAAATATGTGTTAGCAAACATAGTCCACAACAAGTATAATCTGTTCCACTACCAACTTTTTTTTTGCTGTATCAATTCTTTTAAACCACGAAACTGTTACTTTTTCTCATTTCTCTGCTGCTTTATTTCTTGCAGGGTAACATTCCGCAAAATCCCTTTCCTCGTGAACTAGCATACTTCCTCTAGTCTCACTTTTTGAACTCAAACAGGGAAACGATGCAATCAAGGTCATGGTCATGCCATTCCAAAAGTGCATGACTAGAACGTAATAATCATCATGTTTTCAGGGCTTTTTCCATTGTTTCGCATTGTTTTGCATGACCAAACATAGGGTTTTAGTCATGCACATTTGAAAGTGCATGACTAAATTGGGATCCCTGTGATATTTGCATGACTAAATTGGAAACCCTTGAGCTTTATTGAGTTTCAAATGTAGAAACCCTATGTTTGCACCTACAGAGTTACATAAAAGTACGCAAAGAACAATTCTCTTTGGTTTGGAGAATTTTGAATTTGAAAAACCTCATCTTTTAAAATATCTAGAAATTTTATCATAGATTAAAAGATCATTTTCTGGAAAATTTTTTGGTCATGCTTAGCATAGCCTGTATGACCTCTAGCTTCGCCACTGGCTGAAGAAGATTTCCAATATGCTTATATTTAATGATCTAGCCATTCACTGTTATTCTATTATATTTGAAACTTGGCTTTACTTACGGATTACTAAGTCAAACAAACAAAAGTTGTTTTTAAGAATTTGTTGATTTGTCTGTTTAACTCATTTGGAATTTGTTTGATTGTTATAGGAAGAAGATGATGGCCAAAATATTCTTAATGAACAAGAAGAGGCACCATCCAAGGTACTGTTAAGACTTGTTTCAGAAATAATGGTCATTTCGTTATTTGATATCTGCACCAGGGCCCCAAAAATCAACCACGAGGCAAATTGGACACTGTGCTCAGGATCCCTTGTGTTAGAGGGGCCCCAAACTTTCTTGAATAGTCAGATTCCTTTAGAAAGGATATATAACACATGATCAAAATCCAATTTTTGGGCAAAGATCTGTCACTTCAAGCCCATCTGCAGCCATTATTACATTAATTCATCAATTCAGAACAATCACACGCCAGTTCTTCTACTATTTCTGGAAAATATACTTCCATGCAGGCAAGAATTAAAGCAATTAAGAAATGAGTGTCCTACCGCCCATGTACCACTCATTGTGTCAACTTGTTTGATAACATACTGCTGAATGCTTGCTGCCCAAAGTTATTGCATTCTACTTTTCACTGGTAGAGAAAGTTTATACTCCTTCTCAGCTTGCACATATGGTTGGCAAATTCAAAAAAGTTAGCAAAGAACCAGTTTGATTTCTAGAAAGGAAAGTGAATGTGAAAGAAAAAAAAAGGTGCAAACATTACTTTCAAAGAACAAGACTTTTGTTGAGTTCTTATTGGAACTTATTATTGTTTCTGACCTTGCTATATAGAGTGGCGTAGGTAAAATGATCTTCTCTACGCAACAATGCCAAAAGCATAAAAAGCGCTCATTGCCTCTGCAAAGAGACAATTCAAACAGTCTTCTTATTTGATATCAATTATCATTTATGTTAAGGTTATGGTAGACGTTTTTTAAATGAAAACATCCATTTTTGGATTTCTTCACCTTCTTTAGCAGAAATTTCGAGGCACACAATGATACCATGTTTGAAACTATCAGAAGCTTTGAAAATGGAAAAAAGTCCCATGTAAATGAAGGTTTCCATAGTTTCTTTATCAAAGACCCCTTGGAAAATTACCCTTGCAAATCAGAAAAATTTGTAATATGATATTTTCATCTTGTTAGCAACAAAAATTCTCTTCCCAGGCTGTAGGTTGTCCACCCCTGGTTTAGACTGACATCAAGGGTTTCATATTTTGGGCACAAGAAGGACAACCAATGCTAAAAACCCTCTGTTATAATTGTGGCATACTAACATAGTTCAGTTCAGCATATACTAACAAAAATATTTAGGGAATACAAAATAAATTGCATGTACAGATTCAAATGTTTCATGACAGGCAGTGTAATACTTAATGCATCAGCAATTTGTATTTAATGCTCAAATTAGGCAAAAGAAATAAGTTTCAGTAGCCACCTGTTCATTCGGAAAGACAGTGGTGTATGCAATATCCCACTCTAGCATATCTCACTTGAATCTGTTCCATTGAAAAAAACAGATAAGACAAACTGAGTGATAATTGTTTAGTTTAGATTAATAAATCCATTTCTTTGTGAAAACCCCTTCTCTTGTCAGCTTAATTTTCAGTGGCATAGAGAAAATGGAATCTTAGAAGTAAATGGAAGAGATTGGCTATTATAAACATCAGGTGTTAGATTGTAAGGAACAAGCAAAATGCTTAGTGATGTTCTAATATTAATTTAGAACATTATAATTTCACAAGATTAAAGTTCTCAAGCTCTCTACTGTAGCCATCTGTAACAAAACTATCTTTTTTAGCCTGCTAAATGTTTGGCTTCTTTCTCTACATCCCAATTTGCTATTGGCACATTTGACTGACTTCCTCCAAAAATTAAATCAGTTTATTTCCTAATTTCAAAATGTTTAATATTCGGATAAAATTTATCTTCAGTAATTGTTAAACATATTCCTTGTAGCTTTTTGTTGTAACTCTTCATTGTTTTGAAACAGGAGAGGTCCACAACTGTTGATCTCACAACTGACAGCTCACTACTTGTTGATATATCAGATGCCCTAAGTGAAAAAGACAAAGTGAAATTTACAGTGCATACAAAGGTTTGGTTTAATACACTCTCTTGCAAATTTGCAAATTGTTATATCCACTCACTTAGTATCTATCTGGAGTAGCTTTTTGGTTATCAGCCATATCAAAATTAAAAGACAAAATAATACCCTTCCAGCCTTGCTTTGCCCAGTTTTTGAAAGAAATATAGTGTTTATATTAAATGATGCATTATGTAAAACTTGGGTCCAGAAAAACAGGGAAATGGTGACATGCTTTAACCAAATAAACTCAAGTTTATGGGAAATTAGATCATTTTACCAAAAATAGCAAAGAAAAAAGAACAGTATTGCCACCTCTCATAAGCTGTCAAGTGTCAACTGTAGTGTTTGTTACAATAATTTTTTTCCACCTACCATTATTGCTCTGCCAAGTGGCACTGACTTTTTCAGACATGATAGTAAATGAAGGGTTACTGTCCATGCCCCAGACACCTGGACAAGGCTAAGGGGGCAGTTAATCCCAAAGATTTTGGATTACAATTGTCGTTTGTTTTAAAACAATGGACAAATGTGATGTCATCTTATCAAAGAAAGCGATATGCTTGCCCCAATATTTGGCCAAGTATCTGCCACTGCTCTTAATAGATAGATGATAAAAGTTTCTGTAACATGTTATGTTTGCAAACATCGTGTTACAAGTGAAACAAGGGTACTGTTCTTATTCAAAGTAAATATTTGATTGCATGTTTTTAGTAACAATAAAACTATTTTTCAGACAACTCTCCCTGATTTTCAATCTTCCGAGTTCTCTGTGGTGAGAGAGCATGAAGAATTTGTGTGGTTACATGATCGATATGTTGAAAATGAAGAGTATGCAGGAATCATTGTAAGTACATTTTTGTCACAGTATTGTAAGTCAAACCAGTTATTAGCAGTATAGGTTTCTCTTGAATTATAAATATTTTGTGACTATGTTTTCTAAAACTGTTCTCTAATCAAACCCTTTGAACCACAAGTAAAATGTTTATTTTCACTGTATCAGAATAAAGCACATTGTCATTTTCTGTTGTACTTCAATGCTAAATGTTTCTCTTCAACATTCTGTACCATTAGCAGAATAATGTGTTTTGAATTTGAAGGCCTAAGCAAAGCTAATGAATGATGTTTTGTAAGCAACCCTGACTTCTTAATGAGGTTTACTAAACTACAATAACAGGTTAAGTAATATTATATTGATGAAGGTAATTGATGACATTTAGTATATTGAATAGCAAAGTAAATTTAAATACATTTCCATTGCAAATACATAATATCTTTTTTTTCTATGAATTTATGATTGTGTGTTTATATTTACTTCATATCTATTCTAATGTGCTTACATTTGATATTAGATAGATTTTGCTTTAATACATAACAAATTTTTAGATTCCACCTACACCTCCAAAACCTGATTTTGATGCTAGCAGGGAGAAACTTCAAAAACTAAGTGAGGGTATGTAGTCAGTTCTTTTGCATGCCTGTCTTACGTGAATATTAAGGGTTTTAAAGCAAAGAAAGTCAAAACAACTATTTTGGCCATTGTGAAGATCTCCAGAGCTGGCTTTAGAAGTTACCAATAATTTCATAGAGCTGTTTTGCTGAGTGGAAGATCTTTGTTCTGATGCAGTAATTCAGAGTACAGTATTTACAATTTGTAGTAAGCACCCTTGTGGAACATATTTCCTCCTGTTGGTCTTAACCTAGTGAATATTTATATATATATATATGTATATATATATATAGTCTATAGACTGGTTTTCAACAAATTTTTCTTAACTTAAAGACTGTTTATTTAATAGGCAGGCTAACCTTGTCCCAGTTACTTTCCTCATTCATTCTTAAAAGGTTGGAAGTATTTTCATCCCCTTATTTTTATTCTTGTCAAAACCATTTTCAATTGTACGTTTTTCATTGTGCATGTTTGATACAGAACAGTTGTTAAATATTTATCTCTACAGTTTCAAGTAGGTAGTGCTCTGTCTGTGCCACATCCAGCGCTTAGCATTAGTATTTATCAATTAAAGTCAACATTAGTCTTCATTTGCTCATGATTTTTCTCACTAGTTATTCATTGATATCCACCCTTTATTGCCAGGTGAGAACACTATGACTAAGGAAGAATTTCAGAAGATGAAAGCGGAACTAGAGGCGTAATTGTCTTTAAACTCTACATTTGTTAAGTCGTTTCAATAAATTCATTGGTTATGTAGAAGACATGTATGCACACTTCTGTGTATCATCTCAGTTTTTGGAGTTATGCAAATGAATTGCATATTTTGCGGAGGTTGCCCCTCCAAGATAGACTGTAAGTCCATTCAATTGTATTTTGATTGAAAGCCTCGTTTTTTGACGTTGCAAATTTGCTTCCAGGGAATACCTAGCCACGTTCAAGAAAACTGTAGCCATGCACGAAGTCTTTCTTTGTCGACTTGCGGCCCATCCAATTTTACGCAATGACCAGAACTTTAAAGTTTTCTTGGAGTATAAGGAAGATGTAAGTTTTTGAGTTTGTAGCATCTTTTGAACGCTTTACCATTTGTTAGCCATTGTAGTATCTTGTAACAGGTAAAAGGATATTGGGGATGGGAGTCAAACTCTGTCGCAGAATGTCGCCCAAACGATAACATGATTTGAGTCACCAGACAACTGTTATAAACTGATTTTTAATTTCGTTAAACAAACCACAATATTACTTTTGATAGAAACTAAATAGCAATAAAGTCTTCTAAAGTCTCTTTGATCATTTCCAGAGCTAGTTTTGGCCCGTTGCCCTTGAGTTTGACCACCCTGGTCAATAGGTTGTCTTTAGAAATGAACTGGCTGATAAAGAAATTTGAAGGGATTCCTAAAAAGTTAATAAATTCCCAAAACAAAACGCGATCCCTAGATAGAGCAGCAACATCTTTATTTATATATATTAAAGAAGTAATTGTAATAGAAGTAGTTTATTTATATTTGTATTATAGCTGATAGGGAATTCGTATATAAGGGTTTCAAAATGAAAAATAAAATGAAAATGTCATTTCCATCATTTGATTCAAGAGTTAACCGTCCATCACCAAATAAGATGATTTAATTGGGTTGGTGGGTTAATAACAACAAGCTGTATGATCAATTCTCCCTAGGCAGCAATTAAGTCTCTATTAATTTACATATCATGATGAATTAAGTTGCTCAAGTCATCAACCATAGCCTGTATTTGCTTTGGGTTGTCTTTCCAGCTCGAATCTTCATTTATAATCATGTATTTATGATTGCAGTTGTGCGTGAAAAGCAGAGGTGCGAAAGACTTCCTGAAAGGGTTTGCAAAAGGTATTGTTAAAGGTGTTGACGAGAAAGTCCTGCTTGCTGGTCAAAAAGTAAGTGAACTTGAGTTTTAGTTCTGTATACAATTCTCAACTTTGAGAACATGCCTATTAAAGATTGGCCATGGTACTCTTCTCATTTAGCGTATCGTTTTGTTTTAGGATCACGATGAGTTTTTCGAAAACGAGAAAAAGAGCCAGCTCGATTATTACACTAAGTAGGTATCTTTAATGTCACAAATGAAAATTAATATGACTTATTATACATTTGCATTTACACCTCTGCATTCCTGCTAATTCCCTCCTCCCCATTCACCTCGATCCCTTATGCCAAGCTATGATGTCTGCTTGGATTGTATTTTAGGGTAAAAGATGCAGCTTTAAAGAGTGATAAATTATTTGTGAGTGAAAAGAAATTGGCGGATATCCTAATCAAAATGTCAACTTCGATCGGAGCAATGGGAACTAGCGAGTCTACTGACTTAGACAGGTAATGTTTTATTTGTTCAGTAAAAAACAAAACCAGCACGTGACCCTGAATTTAACCATGATGTTCGCGGCGGTTTTAGCAGTGCAAAATGTTGTAACAATCAGTAGGCTAACCCGGCAATGGAAATGAAAGGATTGCTGTTATCTGCTTACACTGCCTTTTAAGGCTTTTTTGGCAGCCGACCTTCTGCTATGAAGATATAGTTCAGATATAGAATATAATTTTGGGTATAAATTCCGTTCACTTTTAGTCATTATCTGTCATTTATACTCTTAAAATATGTCAGACATGGAGTATTTAAGTTTGCTATGTTTCTCTATTCCCCGCTTCCTTCTAATTTTAAGGCTCATAGATAAGGGCATAAATTGTTCTTGATTTTTTTGTACCAATTTGTTTTTTCTTGGAAAAAGGGACAAATAGTTTTATTTTATTGGCAGAATCTTCAACAAGACTAGTGAAATTATGGAGAAGCTGAGGGTGAGTTATCATAAGTGATTTTATTAGAAACACGTTGCCAAATGGCATCTTGCCGGGTTCTTGTTAAGTGGTCAGTCAAGCCAGATATTTCAGATTCTGGGAAGTTTTCCTTTATGTCTAACTATGATTTTCAAAACCACTTTACCAGATTAGTAAGGCATCTTTTTTCGTAATGTTTTTTGCAAAAGCACCCGTAGTATATATAAAGGCAGCAGAATAAAGTGGATCTCCCCCATTTTTTATCGCTTGTTTAAAATGCTGCAGGAACGAAACCGAGTGTCTCGAATGTTTTCATTTAAAAATGCGTTTTGTTAATTTTGGTGCAAAAATGGTTACCAAAAAGTTCCGTGTGAATTTTCTGATTTCACTGAACCTTAAGGGCTATTTAACTACATACTCATCTTTTTAAATTTCAAAAGATGTGGTTCTCAGCGGAACACGTCCGTTTAGCCCCATTTTGTATCAGAATTTTTGAAAATTTTTTTATCCATTTTGTCAAAATTCAGTTCTGGAATGCGGATGCAAGGGCCTTTTGACGATGAAAGTCTAAGTCCCCCCTCTATATAACATAATCTAACTTTTCTAGATTCTATTTCTAAATGACATTGCATCTAACTGGATCAAAGATGATTTTTATGCTGAATTTTTATTTCCTTAGAAAATCGAGAACAGAAAAGCGTCAGATACCGATTTAAAGCTGTCGGATTTACTACGGTATCACATGCGGGACACTGAGGCTGCAAAAGATTTGCTGTATCGACGCATGCGCTGCCTACATAATCTGGAAAACGCCAATAAAAACCTTGACAAAGCAAGAGCTAAAAACAAAGGCGTCGCAGAGGTATAATCGCAGTAGTCTTGCCATTTTAATCACTAATTTTTAATGGTTTAAATGTTTGGTGATATTTATAGGGTCTCTTTTAAGATCTAGAGAGAGAGTCATATAAAGTTGTTGATCTTGACAGGGCCGAAAGTAATGCGAAGTCCATATATTCATTTTGAGGTTCTGCGAGATGTTTTTTTACAAAAATGCACTAAAAATATGCTTATTGGTTTTCTGTATTGAACTTTCAATGCTTTCTAGATTTAAGCCATTTCCTCGATCTAGCCTCTAGTGTGTGCGTCATTGGATAAACAATTGCAAGTCGTTGCTATGAAGGAAATTATTAATTTTTCAAGACGTGTATATCATTTCTATCTGAAAATAGGCAGAGAAAGCAAAGGAGCAGGCAACAGAGAAATTTGATGCGATTTCCGAAGTTGCGAAGCATGGTAAGCCGACAGAGTTCATTTTGCCTTTGTTGTAACAGCTAATAACATCAGCTAAAAGCATTGTTTTTTCTCTGTAGAGGATACATTTAAGCAGTGAGAATGGTTTGGTAAATGTTAAGTCGCATCAGCTGTTTTTTCAGCTAAGGCTTTGCACTAATCATTAATCAACACTAATTCACTGGCTAATTCCAAAAATTTGCGGAAATGATCTTTGAAAAATCAAAGGGTGTGAGAGTTCTTGTACAGCACCAAACTTGTATTCCTTTTTTTTCTTATCAGGATGTCTTGTATATTAATTTTCGTTTATATTTGTTATTTAATTGTATGTTAATTAGCTTAGGTTTTTAGACAGGGCACATTGTAAATCAGTCATTATCTGTTCATTACTGAATGTATTACCTTGTATAAATAATTAAAAATCAAAAAAATCAAATCAAGTTAATTATAAAAATACATGTTGGTATGAATGGTGTATTAGTATGTGAGAATGATCTGAACTCAGTTGGAAAGATCTGTCAAATTTGCTTTATGCGTTTCTTGCAATTTTCATGGTTTGTATTTTTCGTTAGATTTATGAAAATATCTTTGCTATATTCATTGAACTTGTTGCCAGATTAATGGGAATGTTTTTGCTAGGTTCATGGTTGTTTATTTGCAAGATTCATATCATATTTGTTTTCTAGCCTATTGATGGAAGTTTTTTGCCAGAGTTGAGGTTATAATTTTTCCTAATGGTAAACTTTTGAGCCAAACATATGGCTCGTGGTTTTTTGCCAGATTCCTGGTAAATTTTTTTATCATGGTTTAGAGGTTTCGTCTGATTTTTTGTAAATGCTTTTGGTAGACTCGTGGTCCATGGTTTCTTCCAGACTCGTGTGTAAGTTTTTAAAAAAACAAATTCAAAGATTGCTTGTTGTGCAAATTTTTCCATCTATTTATCCTTTTTCAGAACTTACAGATTTAAGAAAGAATAAGGTCCAAGCCTTTAAAAAGAACTTGGTGAGTCTGTTTATCGTATCCTTAGTTTATTTGTCAATGTTTTGTCAAAGAAAATCAGCCATGATTCTTATAGCCAGTCTTAAGCAGGAAGCTTGCCGGTGACCTAACTAGCTATAAGTTCTACAAGCAATCTTTTTAAACTTTTCTAATTCGTAATAGGTCTATGCTTTGAGGGATTCATAGGCTTCGCTTGATAATCATTGGGACCCGACAAAAAGATTAGCAGACAGAGACCGGTCTCCTTAAGTCTAATGTTTTCCAATTTGATGCGACTGCCTTGATACCACAACGCAGCAAAATATAGTAAATGACAAGAAATCTTCTCCATAAAACGATCATATATAAAGTATTTTCACCATGCACTGCTAGATGCTTTTCCATTGTATATATTTACATTCATGCTAACTATTTCTTGAAGGTTGAACTTTCAGAGCTACAGTTGAAACACTCTAAGGTATGTCTACAGCATTATACGATCTTTGGCAAGGTTTTCCGTGTAAGCTTTTAGTAGGCAATCTTATATAGAGATGGCCCAATGTTTTATAACATTTTATCTGGCAGTGTATTTTTTCGATTCAAAGAAGGTCGCATAGAATAGTTGCTGTTGGCAGTGGAGATTGTGTTCGAAAAAGTTCCATGGAAGATCCAGATTCTGAACCTGTTGAATAATTTAATTTTCAAGTGCGAATATTAATATATATATACTATTGTTGAAATCGAAACGTTTTATTAATATTTTGCGCATGACTCGAAATCTTTTTAATAGCCATATTTTGACTTCATATCACAGGTCTTCCATCGATTAGGCATCTATGGTTTATCGTATCAAGATATTCCAGTACCGTGCGATGGTTTGACATTTATTTTCTTGTTTCAGGCTGAAGTACAGCTTCTTAAGAACACAATTGCTGCGCTGAAGGAAGGACAGTAACATTTAGATTATTAGATCCAATATTTTTATATAACTATGATTTGCCCACCTAATATTGTTATCAATTACGTTTTAAGATAATCTGAAATAACATTTTGATATTTCCAGCATGTCAAGGATACAAACATCTTGTCTGCTGATGCATTGTGATTGGTAGGGAAGGTTTTGTATCAGGCCCTAACCCCACATGTTTTCTCTAGCTGTTCAAGAACTGTAAAAAGCCGGGATTTTTCATTCATGTAAGTCAACAATCTCCCATGGAGTTCTTTCTAAACGGAGCGTCTAATTGAATTGTTGTATCCATGTACTATTGGAAAATGACATCCTTTGTTGAAATAACCCTGTTTCCCCGCTGTCGTATTACTTAGCTTGGAGGTGCCTCCGATATGAATTTCAGATGAAATACTATTATTAATTGCTTTGGTTTTCAGCCTCTGTTGTAATTGTCAATGGCAAGTTGTCAAGTAATTTCATTCAATAATTGCATTTGTTAGTTTGTGTATACAAAAATCGTAGCTGCGCAGACAACTTTTGCCTTGTTTTTGCTTTTTTCCTTACAAGTCAGAAATTGATTTAAAGCTAAAAATAATTTACTTTGGTGTATTACTATAGTGCCGAAAGAGAAATCCTAAAAACTCCAAATTCAGGTATGGACCATTCCCACTAGGTATTGATACCAGCGTTCTCACTGAGGTGGCTTGTTTCATGGATTTCATAAAGATTCTACACTAACTGCAGGGTTTAAGCGAGCAGCGTTAATGTACAGTAGGAGTGCTATTTCTTGTAAACCCAAATAATGTTTTTGTACACGTCATTTTATCAATCTACTTCCTCCCTTAGTCAAAAGCAGCAAGATCAAAATGGTAACACAACATACCGTAGATCCTTTTTAAAGCGTTTTTGAATTTAGGAAATTAGTTACTGACGTATTGGATCTTTGCCCGAAACGGAAAGGGAAACTAATTAGTACTTTAAAAACAGTTGATTTTTAATTTGTCCAACATGGTTGTAAATATGGTATTTTTAGGGTCTTTAAGAAATGCACAAAGAAAATTGCCCTGCTAGGAGTTTCATACTGTCAGCTATAAAAACATGTAATTACTGTTACACGATTTCCTGGCTCTATTCTACAAACTTCACAAGTTGATCAAAACACCATACACCAGTTTATTGTCGAAGAAACTAATAGCTTCTAAAGACTATTAGAAACGGAGGTATATTGTATTCTTCATATTGTTATCGTATGATTCTGATAAGCAACATATTTGAAAGGAAAACAATAAATGGAATAGGAGTAAAAGCGTTGTGACTTTGAAATTCATGGGGTTTACCACAGTCCTTAGAGAAAAGTATGTCCCAGTTGACCTTGATGAATTACGGCTTAGATAGTGGTACATATCATATATCATAAGTGCCTGTTTATTTGGTCAAACTCTGCATGATATAAAAGCAGAATCTTGATCAAATATCTGAATCACAGTGAATGATTTACACAGGCCAAACCTGAAACATTTTATCAGAGTTTCTTTGTGTGGGCTCACTTCTACCCGTAGCTCCCCCCTTTCTTCGATATCCTTTAGGAAGAGAAGCCTGTATATCCTGAAAGAACTGCTAATTCTCACAAATGTCTTTCTTGGGGTTTTCGGAACAAACTGTAACGCTGGATAAATGAAAAACTTATTGGAAACCCAAAAACATAACATAATAACGACGTGAAAAAGAGACATCAATTTTATGTCATTACAATAATTATCTGTTTACTAGGATGAGCACTTTAAAGAATGCAAAGAATACTTTCCCTTCAACCTCCAGTGTTCTTGGGTCCCAGCAAAGACCTTTCTTGGGCAGATTATTCGACAAACTACTTAGAAGTCATCTTTGTTTCTTTGATGGTTAGGATCATTGTAAGACTTTGAACCAATCTGGCAGATAAGGAGTAAATATGTTTGACTTTCATTGAAGCCACAGTCACTTTTGTTTTAAATGAGAGTGTTTCGATTTGCACCCAAACGTTATTGGTTGCCTGTTTGATAAAGATAATGAGATTGTTACATTCGTAACCCTACCCATTGCCTTCCATAGAAAGGTTCAAAAAGTAGAATAGAAAGCCGTAGTTTAAGAATCTGAAAACACACACTGGGCACCAATGAAAACCCTGTTGAAACACCCTCAACATTTCGCTGAACAACGCCCAACACTTTCAAAGCATTGAGCAAATTCTCTGAGTATTTCTACTGAACAAAGCCGGGTAGTTTTTCAAATCCTATCAACATCTAACTGAACAGTGACTTTCAGCGATGTTCCGTGAAATGGTAAAGCGTTGAAACAAAGCTTTATCAACGATTTATACAGTGGGGAGGAAAACTTGGGAGACAAATATCTCCGGTAAAAGCATCTTCTATGGAAATGCAAATTACAAGTCCCGCCTGGGCATGCTTTTGACATATTTAAGTCACAAAGACGTCTCATAGAAGCAACAAACTACAAAACTTCTAGAAACTACAAAACTTTTCTAGAAACTACAAAACTTCAAAATGGTGACTACTCATACAGTATACCAGTTTGTCAAATCAAAAGAGAAGCGAAGATCTTTTTACGAGCATTTGCACGTACCAGTATTATAAATTTCTGTACCAGAGCAAATAAAACTTGCTGCTTATACGCCTTTCCAGTTCAAAACTATTTATTTGAGGAAAATATTATGCGGTATGATTGTTCTTGAGTGCATTCCAGTGAAAGGAGGACAGATTATAGATTCAGTAACTGTTTGAAATTGAGTTGATCTTACTTTGATAATTTGTTTAAATAAGGATTAGTTTCACATTTCAGCATGCAAAGGGACCTTTTAACCATGCGTTCGGTGTACCAATTGTAGGTAAAATCAACATATGACCCTTCCATATAGGTTTGATCACTAAGGATATCGACATATCCTGAGCATTAACCTATTTGACGAAAATAAGCCACTCACAAATTCTCTTTAGCAATGCAAATAGAGCTGCATCATAAAAGTGGTTTTTGTAACCATGTCAAAGAAGTTTCCGTCATTTATGTCTCAAGCCTGTAAGCTAACGAATGTTAAAATAGCACTAGCAGATTTTTTCGGGAGGAGGGGGAGGCAGGGCCGTCGAGAAGCAGCTCGGGCCCAGGGGTGATTCACAAAACAGGGCCCCCATAAGAATATATGAAATATATTCCTACGAATAGTTGTGTGTTGTACAAAATAATAGGTCACATCGGCTTTGAAATTACAGTTTGCCCACTTGCAGAATATGTAGGCATCCCCCCATCTTTCTGGAACGTTTGAGTCGTGTTGAGCGGCAGTTCTACTCAATCCCCCATCTGAGCGGTAGTCAATTCGGTTGTTCATTGGTTGTCAACAAAATTTGTATGCATCCCCCCAGGTTGGCAGTGATTTCTTTTGATTTGATTGGTTTAAGGCTGAAATACACGATCAGTTTTTACTGATCAGTTTCAACTTCACAGATTTTCTCGTCAGTTTTGACTGACCGATCTACCCGTTTACACGATCAGTCAAAACTGATGACCTAGCATTATTTTCCTTCATTTTCACGATGAACAGCAACACGGAAGTTGCTGTTGTGGCATTAGTTTAAGCTGTAGTTTCAAAACGAAAAAAGAAAGATTCAAAGCGGAAGAAAAATCGTCATTGGTTGACCATGGCTTAGTTAGGTGCCTATGATAGTTTATTGAAAGAGCTTCACTTTGAAAAAGGAGGAACTTCTTCAAACTTTTGTTTTTTGCATCGCGATCTTTGTATGAGCTGGGTGTAACATCCCACAAACTTGGTTCTTCCTCCCAAATGCTAAAAAATCTTATTGCTCAATGCACTTCTTTTCGAAAGGCAAAAGGTAATAATAGATTTCTCCGCATGAAGTTGCACATGACGCAATAATTGAAGGGATTAACGCCCGCATCATTTTCAAAGGATGGTTGACATTCAGTTTTGACTGTAAAGTTGAACAGGTCCAACTTTAAAAAGCAGTGGCAGTTTAAACTGATTGCCGAAAAAACATCAGTTTTTAGCCGTTTACACGATCAGTTTTCCTGCCATCAGTGAAAACTTACAGTTTAAACTGATCGTGTATTTCAGCCTTTAGGCAGGCTGACTACCGCTCAGTGCAGCTCGAATCCGCTCTACACCGACTCAACCCCCATGCTAGCCTTTTATTTGCAAACATGTGGCTCGGCCAATTGGCCGCATTTTCCATAGCGATAAGGATTAAAAATATTTCTGTCTCTGTGGAAATTTCAGGCATGTTTCTAGGAAGAAATGCTTGGTTTGCAGCGCGATCAAAAAATTTTCAATTTTCAACTATGGTTTAATTAAAGTAGTAGGATAAACATGAAATTGATCCTTGTTTCTATAATTTTTTGAATAATCTGACTACCGCTCGAGCGGTAATGGCGGTAGTCTGGATCCGCCACTGATATTAAAAAGTCCCCTTCTATTAAAGCAAACACCTCCTTCTAATTCACACCGCACTAAATTCTTTAAAATTCATTCAAACCTTTGATTGGACATTGGACTTATCTTTTAGGTGCAGGGTTATAGTCGCTCCTCGTTGATGGCTTCACGTGACAGTCCTTTAAGACTTTCGCTGACGTTGTGCTTGCTTTAGGTGAAGTTGGTCTAGGAAGAAGTTTGTTAACGGTAGACGACCTGTGCATTAAAACACAATGTCTGCAAAACTAAATAGTGATGGCAAAGCAGAACTGGAGCTCAAAAGCCCTTTAAGGGATGATTTGAAAGCACCTTCTAACGAAGAAGTAGCAGCTTGTCGGCCATGTCGGCTTGCTATTGTTGTCATATTCACTCTCGTTCTCGTAGCCATGCTTGTAGCCGCGATCGTAGTGATTGCAACGAGCAAAAGATGTGGAAAACCATTGCAGAGAACAGAGTTCTGGAAAACGGAGACCTTTTATCAGATTCATGTGCCATCTTTCCAAGATACAAGTGATGATGGGAAGGGAGACCTTAAAGGAATCGTAACGCGGTTAGCCTATTTGGAATCAATAGGAGTCAAAGTATTGGTTCTATCAGGGCTGGTTTCAGATAAAGAATTTCAAAATTTCGCAAAGGATGAAGACAAAAATGAGTTTGGAAACCTCGTTAGTAAGGCAAAAGAGCGTGGCATTAGCATAGTTCTTGAAATGGATCCAACCTACACAAGTTCAAGTAGTCCCTGGTTCCAAGGAAGCGCAGCATCAAAAGACAACGCGTATAGATCGTGGTACCATTGGAGTAAGACAACTAACAACTGGCAGAGCATGTCTGGCGGAGTAGCCTGGCAGATGCACACGAGCACAAACTTTTCGTACTACTTTTATGTAGACAAGGACAAACCTGCACTCAACTACAATACCAGTTCAGTGAAAGATGAGTTCAAGAAAGCCTTGATTGCCTGGATGGACAGGGGTGCTAAAGGATTTAAACTTAACAACTTCCAAAGGCTTGTTGTTGATGGCCGGTACAGTGATAATCCGTCTTCTCAATTTGTTAACGATAAAGGTATACCTTGTTAGTTATAACTATTCTTTGGGTTTTACCAACAATATTAATATTTGTTTTTCTTTAAAGCATTTTCAATGCATAGACGCACCAATTAAGTGAAAAATATTTCAAAAACTGGAAATCTCAGTATCAAGTTTTCTGTCAAGACCACAGATCACACTCATTTCCTGTTGTGTCCACACAACATTTCTTTACTTCATTTGTTCTTGTTCTTCCCTAGATTTGAAGGCAACGCACAATGTCCTCAAAGAGTTTCACAAAGTGGTGGCTACAAGAGGGGGCTTTTTGATGGGTGCTCTTGAGGAAATAGCTGACAGTAAAAATACACGAGTTTACTATGGAAATGAAAAAGAGAAAGAACTTGATCTGGTTTTGAACAGTCATTTCACTGGTACTTTCTCAGGTAACCCAGGAGTGTTTGTTAACAAAACTTTATCAGATTACCTTCAGGCTGTTCCTAGTTTCAGCTGGCCAGGTTGGATTTTCGACGGACCAGAGTTCAAGCAAAGGCTTGGTCAGAGGTTTTCTCAAAAGGAGCTTGTATGGCTTAATAATGTGCTGCAGCTTACATTGCCAGGAACCCCTGTCTTCTATTATGGTGATGAACTAGGCTTGAAAGATGTAATTACAGAGGCAATGGCATGGGACAATACTGATAATGGAGGTATGAGATTCTGACTCTGATTACAATCTTAAGGTTCTGGGATACTTTGTATATATACGATGCTCTATTTGCGATATTCTGTATCTGATGCTTTGTGTGGCTCATGTGTCTGGTAAATGATGAAACATAAGGGCTTCTGTCTTTGAAACCCTTCCATACATTGTTTCTAGCTACCATATCTATTCGATTATAAGCTGCCCTTGTTTATAAGGAGCATCCACAAAACCATGCAGTGGTTTGAAATGATAAGCAAACAACTCAATGAAAACCTGATTGTGTACTCAAACAAAAAAATAGCAAATAGAACTTCAACTGACAGCAATATTTTGTGTGTCTGACTATTGTGTGTTCTATATATACAAGCAGCTTTTATTGATGCTTTCTGGTGGTTTCAAGATGCATATATATGCAGTGGTTTCAAGCTAGAGCGCCTCTCCTTGCAAGACCTTATAAGTAAGTGGATTTTATGATGTCAATTAGACACAGTGCCAAGAATTTGAATGATTATTTTCTATTTAAAATAAGTTTTAGCTAGATGTGCTAATAAATAACATTTTTTGTAGGTTTTTCCAAAAAAAATCCATGGTATTCTAATACTAAAGTGAAGCAGGTCACCAATGTGGAAGAACAGAAGAAAAAGAATGAGACATATACTATTTTCAAGCAAGTGAATGAATTAAGATTGAAGGAACGTTCTCTACAAAGCCTGAATGTAAAAGTATGGTATGCCACTGGTTCTGTTATCATTTTTCAACGGTATCTAGAAGGTCAGAAAAGCTTTGTAGTTGCCTTGAACTTCGGGAATAAGCAGGAGTCAGCAAGCCTATCCAACCCTGGTGTAAATAAAGGCATCATTCGTATTGATACAAGGTTTGAAATCATTAGCAGAGAACTGAACTTCAATCAAATAAACTTGAAACCTTTCCAAGGACTTATTTTGGAAGTACTGAATTGATTTTTTTCTAATAGTTGCGTCTTCTGTGCAATCTTATGAGCATTTTTTGCTAGAGCTTGGAGAACAAGGGCACCTAACAGTTTTCTTACGATCTCTGTTAGCTTTCTAATAATATCTACAATTTTCCTTTTTATGCTATGTTAATAAGATCTTATACTTGCAAGCACTTAAACCTTCAAGTACTTTTGGAAGAAGCAGTTTTAAACTTAAGAAAAAGCAAAGAGTTATATACTGGAGCAAGAACAAGCCAGTCATTAAATTTGTAAAGGGGCTAGAAGAGAATCATTTCAGAAGAATCCATGATTAGATCTGATATATATATCCTGATGTTGGGCAAAACCTTTCAACTGCAGACTGTTTGAGGAGTCAGTTGTTTTCCTTAACTATTGATATATAGCCCTTATATGATTGTCAGGCCATCTGTTAACATAGTTTTGTTAAATCCTTGTTAAAATTCCCTCACACATTGCCAAACAATAAAGTCAGATTGAAACCCATCTACAATTTTAGCTTCTGTGAATTTGCTTTACATTATACACCTATCTTGGTTTTAAAAGAATTTGCAATCAAAAAATGCATTTCTGCTATAAATAACTTGATATTGTATAGTTTAAGTTGCCAGGTGTTGTCAAGTAAAATGTTTTTAAGCTAATTTGCTTGAAGACTTGTTTTGAGTTTACTCACAAGTTATTTTGACGGGACATGTCTCTTCTTCTTAAGTCAAAATATAACTTGTAGCAGTGTTGATTCATTAGTTTCATTTCATTGCTTTTGGCATCTAATTATACTATTGATTTTTAATTCCATTTTTATTGACTATTGTTGAATAATGCTTAGCCCTGTATCAACTCAGTAGATTATGTTACAGACTAGTTCATGTTCAATACTTTATCATTGTAGTTTTCTTTTTGTACAACAGATAGTTTCATTTAAACCTGGGGGCTGATTCCTTAAATCCCTTATGAAGAGGTCAAGATATTTAGGATATCTATATTATCCTATATCCTATATCTTGAGTTGAGAGTTAATTACTGGTCCCCTTTGATTTGGCTTTCAGGAAGCTGTCCGTAGTTTTCAAACAGTTTGAAGTCTTGCAAGTTCGTTATCTCTGCAGATTAAAGGAAAGTTTTTTAAAAAGCTGTTGAAAGAGTTGGTTGACATACATAAGAAGTAGAAAAGAAAAATTTCTGGTGTATCAACTTTGTTTAAATGTGTATTAGAGATGTAGGAGCATGGGGGAGCACAAAGAGCACTGTTAAGCAAGGAGAGAATGCACCTTCTATGTTGAATTTCTACTGTCACTACCCCCTTTTGCCAAAACTTTGTTTTTAATGCTGACCGTAACAAATGCCCTTCCAAAAGAAGTGTCACTGCTATTTTTAAACGTTTCCTATGACCTCGAAGTAGATCGATGGAAAGATGCAATAAGATGTATTGTATTAAGTTATAATGTAGCCATCGAAGCACACAGTGTTGTTCCTAATCTTTTAATCTTATAATTAGAAAACGATCACAAATCACTGCAAATATTCTTCTTGAGCGTAGCAAAAACTATTGTTTGATACTTGTCATGTGAACAATCAAGGGGTTGATTTGTAATGTATAGTCATTAAATTATGAAGTATTGTAATCAAGATGTCCTTAATTTCTCTTATTTTGTATTATTTTCATCAAGATGGTAACGTCTTAGAAAATATGATGTGTTAAAGATTGGAAGTTTCTTTTCAATGTTATATCCTTCCTTTTGCTGTAAGGTCCTTTTAATAACACATATAGGGTAGTTTTTAAAGACATGTGGTTCTCATCATTATGAGTTTGTAGGACTTTAATGAAGGGGAATTGTATTTTGCTTCGTTATGTCTTCAATCGCTTTATTTCAGTACCCTAGAAGGAAAAAACTCGAGATGGCACGAAAAATCAGAAACATAACGTATCATAAAACCAAGATGGTTCTTTTAGCTATAAGCTTCTAGAGTCTATCTAAAGAGGTGTTAGAATAAAGGCGGACATTTGAAAATATTCAGGCGTTTTCAGTTCCATGCAAGTATAGGAGAGTTCCGCTTGACCCTCTTGTGAAGTAATTAATCCTTCGTATTTCTGTAATTTGCAATTAAAGCCTTCCCTCACACCCTCCGGTTATAGTAATGGAACCGTCCTTAATTAAAGCGCTTTGTGCTACGTTGTTACTTGGACGATCGGATATCCTTACAACCAGAGTCAGGAAAATATCACGGCCCCACGGCCACTGACCGGGGGAAGGTTGTAAAATCCTGAAGAAATTGAGCAAGTTGGCTAAAAGTTTAGAAACTATAGGCAGTTAAAGGAATTTGGCTTTTGGCTTTCAAAATACAGTCAGATAAAAACTTACAAAAATCAAAGTAAAATATATAAACCTCATGTTTTTTTCAATATGAATATGTTTGCAGAACTGCTTTGCACTGTAAAATTCAGAAATAAACTGTTTATAATTTATTTATCTAAATTATGACACGCTTTTGTTACTAATTGATCTGTTTAAAAAATATCAATAGTTGAGAACAAACTGGAAAATCTTAACACGTTTTGGAAAAACAGAGTTGTCAGGAGAGGAGACTAGTTGAGTTCCCCCAATTCCCTGACCACGCCCATTTTAAACCCATTTAGAACGAGGAAGGTTTTATAGCACGATTTTCTTGGTCGGAGAAAGGTTGTCCATTTTCTGGACTCTGCTTACAACTGATATCACGGCCGTCGGAACGAAATTCATATTGGAACCAGCGGTGGCGCCAGAAATCTTCCGACAGAGGGACTGGAGATTCCTACAGGGGGGGGGGGCTAAAATGACTAAAATAAGCAGTTTTCGTACGTTATTTTGTCAAATTTGCTCCGATAATAACCTAAAATTTCCTCTGATAGGGGGCTAGATGCTTCTGACGGAGGGGCTGTAGCCCCCCTAGCCCTCCCCTGGCGCCACCACCGATTGGAACGTCCTTTATGCTTTAATATTTTGAAAGCAAAACTAAAAAAACTCTTTATCAATGGTCATGGTCGTTAAAATGTCTATAACACTATCACAAAAATACAATCTTTTGACCACCCTCCTTCATCTTGATATATATGTATCTATATTAGAAATTTGTCTTTTGATACTTCCGTAGCACAGTGCTCAATACGTTAGCACGTAGAGCGTGATATATCATAGATTGAAGAAAGTAAAACTACATGGTTTATCTCTACAAGCCTGTTTCGTGAGTAACTCACTCTTCAGGAGATATTATATATATGTTTCTATAAGAACCAGTATATTCATTAAGGTTAAGGCTGGCTGTTCTTAATTTATTTGAAAAATCTGAGGTTAGATTGCTTTTAGTTTGTTTTAAATTGATAGGAAGTAAGCTGTGTGATAATTGATTGCTAGCCTTTTCGCTCTAGGGAGGTGTTCAAGCCTTAGTGCCAAAAAATGAGTGAGACAACCTTAATTTGCTGCAAAGTTTGAATATTAACCGAAAAAGCACCCCCACGTTACTAAAAATCTTCATTTTTGAGACAAAACCAAAACGTTGTTCAAAATTGCACTTTACAGATTCCCAGTCTCAGTTTTTTCTTAATTTGTTCTTTAATTTTGACCAATTTTGGGGCTCGTATTCTGATGAAATTTTTCTTACAAAAAATGTTTTTAGCAAATATAATGGTTTTTCAGTTTTTTCTAAATGGGGAGAGGAAGCGGCATATTCTCTGTTGTAAACTATAGCCTTTTATAGATTTTATTCTGAGTGTATAATTTGATTTGATGTATCTATATACTTAGATTAATTTGATTTAAATGTATTAGTTGAATCATCGATGTAGACCTAAGGGGGCGGGGAGGGGGGTGTAGTAGGTAAGTTGGTTATAAATTTTTAGACTAGTTTTCATATTCTTGGTTTCACTCATAAATGAAAATCATTTCAAAAGATTTAATCAAGATCAAATAATAACGATAACGAAAAATGTCAAGAAAATCACCCTAGAACCCTCAGCTAAGCCTCTTTCTATCCTTTCAGCCCCTTCCCCCGTGGAAAAAATTCTGCCTCTGCGAGTTGAATGACGAATATTTTAACCATAAATTTTTGAGAGTTTTACTCCGTCGGTCCCGTGTGCTCTTGTGTACGGATTGATTAAAGATGGTAGAGGGGATGGGAAGGATAGACAAACTACGCCTGCAACAATTGACCAAGAAACAGTAATCATTTTGGTTTAGGAGTAAACAAGGAGGCTGCTACTACATTATTTGATTTGGTAATAGGCTACTGCCTTATGTAAGATTTTAATAAAAAATCTTTAGTTCGGTTCCACGGTATGCATTGCTTGGCCTAGCCTTGTTTAATAGGTTCGGCCGGGCACAGCACAAGTGCTGGTCAATGATGATTCAACGGTGCGAAGGAATTACGTATAGCTCGATTCCTAAAGCATGAGCTATTATTTAAAAGGCCAAGTTTATTTAGGGAGTATTTTTTATTTAGCCCAAATAGAGAATATATATTGCTCCCCTTTTCCAAACAATTAAAAAAATACAAGTTTAACTGGGCTCTGTCATGTCATGAGTCCAAATGATTCTCCGGGAATCATTAATTGAAATAATTTTTCAGGCCTGATACTAAATTCCACTAGGTTACGTCGTCCAAATATCTGCATCCATTTCAAAGAGGCTAACTGAATTTTCAGCAAACTGAATTTTCATAAATTCAAACAAAACTTCAGTGACACTTTAAATCCTTTGTGCCTGATAAATGATGGTATTGAAGATACATAACTTTTTGTCGCTCTGCCGTGTATGTGACATGGATAGGCGTGAACTTCTCAGCAGTGTCGATGGGTTATTGTGACCCCATGGATTGGTAAACCTTTCAAATAAAGATTCACTTGAAATCGTTCTGTATGGTCACGAAAAGTTGCCTTTTGATTCCAAAACAAACATTCTTGAGGCAACCTTTAGATACATTTGTGCCTCAGAGCGATTTGGATAAGTTGTTGTTGAAAACCTCCTCAGTTGTGTTTTATGTGGTTTTTTGCTACTTTATGTAATTGTAATATTTAGATATTAATTAGTGTTAAGTTGTTATGTACTAAATGTTATGGTCGCACGGTTGCTATGTATTTCCATGCTCCCTGTGGCATTATCTTCAAACCTTCGTATGTCCTTTTAACTTTTATTTGAATATAAAAAAGGGGCTAATTGCAGTTTCTAATGTTTGTGGCTACCCATAAAAAACATTGAAACTTGAAACCGTTTAAAGACATTTGTTACTGTTATTTTCAAAACAAGTACTCTGAGTAGATTGAAGTTTTGATTAGTGGCCATTTCACTTCTGACCCATTCCCACTTGCCCCCTAAAACAGATTTAATTTACATCACAGTAGTTTTCAATAATTCATGCACTATTTCCCATCCTTCGAGGTGGTGCAATACTTTTTTGAGTGGAGTGTACCTAATTTGCAGTAAAAATACTTGTAGTATTAATAGTATATGTTACCAAATAATAATTTAAGTCCATAACCTTGCCACTTTAGGTTCAAAAGAAACTGAATATGCCATCAGTGTGCAAAAGATGTGGATCCTCTGATATTGACACTGATCCAGCTAGAGGGGATGCAGTTTGTACCAAATGTGGATCTGTTGTTGATGAGCATCTGATTGTATCAGAAGTTGAGTTTGAGGAAAACAGTGCTGGTGGTGCCAATGTTATTGGCCAGTTTGTTTCAGCAGAAGGTATTGTTTTCTATACATGATTGCAGTCCCACAGTTACAGCATTAAAGATTTTTGCAGTTGCTGTTTCTGCTGATTTGCAAACGATTTCTGAGATCCTTTTCTCCAGTGCTATTGATTTTATCTATTTAAAATATTTCCCCTTTCTTCCTTGTTGGCATTTTCTATATGGGAAATATTCAATTATATATTGAGTGATGTCAGGAAGGAGAGCATTGCTAATCAAACTCTTCTGAAATATATAAAATGCATTTTACAGTTTATATTATTTCGATATTTGAATATAGATATATGAACAATTTTTTGAGTATACTACTGAAGTAATGCAAAAAATTTGTCTCTAAAAGAGCATCATCTCAAGAATTTTTCAGAAGGCCATTCAGATTATGTGCGCTTATAGTTAACCCTCTATTTAGTACTCTTCTCATTTCTAACTGTTCCCTTTATTTGATACCCCATTTTATTTAAGAGGATTGCAAGAGACAAGCTTCTTTTTACTAGCCAATGAGCACCCTTGAGATTTCTGAGCACTGATAAAATTTGATGACACAATAGTGAAAGTTTATATGACTTACTTTCCCCTTTTTCAGGCAATACATCTTTGTCTCTTGGTCAAAACTTCAAGCACAGTCTTGGCAGGGACTCAAGGCAGCAGATTTTTAATAATGGTGAGAGAGTTAGAATATTTAGCAGGAATTTTCTAACAGATGTTTGGTTCATTTCATATGTGGGTAGATAGATATTGAGGATTATAAATTGCAAAAACTACTTTTTCAGAAATCTTTAATGATTTGAATTATATAAAATTTCTTTTTTATTTCCTTCTTTCTTCAATTCTAGGAAGACAAATGATAAACAGTCTTGGTAGTCAGCTGTCTCTCAGCAAACATTGTCTAGAAACAGCTTTCATGTTTTACAAGCTAGCTGTTAACAGGAGACTAACACAAGGCAGGAGAACAATACATGTTGTTGGTGCATGTCTTTACCTTGTTTGCAGGACAGAGAAAACTCCACGTATCCTTATCAAGACAACTCTAATGTATCCCTCTAATGTATTACGCATAGATTATCTTTAAATTCTCACATTCCTCTGAAAATATTTGTTTAGCAAAGTTGTTATAAGGTGCAAGCTGTTCATAATTCAATGAACAATATTCAGTTATAATTAAGCTTAAAAGCTTGCCATTATTTTTTGTTATATATTATTTTAGATAATAGCTATATATATAAAATATCTATGTATTGATAAATATTTATCTATATTTATGTGTTGATTTTTTCTTGATATGTAGATATTTTGTTTATTAAACATTTCACAGAAGTTTCTTATTCTTAACAGCATTAAGATCTGCTAATCGACATTAGTGATGTTACACAGGTGAGAAAAATTGCTTATATCGTATGACCGAATCTTACTTGCATCATTATGTCAGCTGTTTGATAAACAAATTAAACACACATTTAAGCTCTGAGGGATGAATCTCTTACAATACTTATAATCATTAAAGCCTAACACTTTGATATGACTGTTTCATTAATGATTCGCTTGGATTTTTGTGTGAATACATTTATATTTCTATCTTTAGACTGACGTGTTCACTCTTGGCCGCACATTCCTTGCATTATCAAGGGAACTTTGCATTGATGTACCAACGACTGGTAATGCGGAACATTTCATGAAAAATTGTCAAAAGTATTTTCTGCCACCTTTGACACAGATCATTGCTAAATGTTTTATTAAAAGCTGATGTAAACATCGAATTAAAAGGAGGCTGATCCCATTTCCTCGTTTCCAGAATGACGTTCCTGAATGGCCTTCTCTGCTACCCAACTTCAATACGACACAAAAACGAAATTCTTACACATATACAAGACCATTTAACACTCCTTAGAGTATAAATCCATAAAAAGTGAACATTAACTGACATCACGTTACGGTTCAGGAAAAACCTGACTGGAGACAGGGCCAGGGATGCCTACACCTGGCCCTGTCTACTCCTCTGGAGGGGCAGAGGGGGCAAAGATAAGAGTAGATTCTCCTGCCTCAACCTTGTGCAGGCGTCCCTGGAAAGGACACGTAATAGGGTTTCTTTTTTACTAATCCGTGACCGCTCAGCCCTAACATAGTTTAAGTTTTTTGATTCGCAAATCATCGTTTTTTGTTTCGATATACACCGGTTACACTTTATTATATATATATCCTTGCTTATAAACGTTTGAAAAAAGTGCAATATACGACTAAAAGTTTTTTTTAAATACAGATAATAACTGTTAGTGCCGCAATCGTGTGTCATGCGAATTTTCTAGCCGGTTTTTTTTGTATTTTTATACAGTATGATAGAAAATGCTCGGTTTTTATTCTGTTGTTTTAACTAATAGTTGCAATATAAGAACTTGCCTTTCTGCTTAAAAGTTTTTAATAGTTGGTTGGAAGTTTGTTTGAACAGCATGTCATCTCGTGCACTGACCCGCCTATTTAGAAAGCTGAAGCAACGTTAAACATTGCTTTAACTCTAAGTGGCTAGGCGTTACTGTCAATATTATTGATGGGGATTCTTGTATGTTGATTTTTATAGATCCAAGTCTCTATATTCACCGATTCGCTCATCAACTTAAGTTTGCTGAAAAAGAGAACGAGGTTGCCACTACTGCACTGAGGCTGGTCTCCAGAATGAAAAGAGACTGGATGAGCACGGGAAGGAGGCCATCCGGTCTTTGTGGTGCAGGTATGTTCATAGGATGTAATGCGCCACGGATTTAATGTACTGGATGGATGGAATTTTATTATTTTTTAAGAGTTGCCAGAAAATGCTCCTACTCAATATTTTTTAAAACGCCGAGAAATTGGTAGAGTATATGAAATACTTTGCGTAAAACAAAAGCTAGATGTCTAATAACTATCCTGATTCAAATCAAGATGATCTAATACAAGATCATCTTTCAAATTATTGTTTTTCATGCAGGAACTGCTAAAGTTTCCAAGAAACATTTACTTTTCAAACAAGGCTATTTGTCATTGCATTTGTCCATTTAATTTTCAATGCCGCCAGAACAGTTACGTCAGATTGGTGCTAAAAATATATCTTCAAAAAGTTTTTTGATAAGAATAGTTTCAAGAATCGCATGTTTTTAATTTATCGATTTCTTTTCATGGCAGCCTTGATTGTCGCTGCGCGTCTTCATGGCTTTAATCGAACTATAAAAGATGTCGTTAAAGTCGTTAGATTAAGCCATTCCACAATTCTGCAAAGGCTGGCTGATTTCGGACGAACAGCGTCGAGTAAATTGACTGTTGATGAATTTAATAAGATTGATCTCGAAGAAGAGGCTGATCCACCCTCGTTTACAAGGGCGAGGCAGCGCGCCAAACAGGCTCAAATCTATGACGACAACATCAAATATGCATCGCCAGATCTGCTGGCGCAACTTGCCACTACACAGGAACGCGTCGAGGAGGTCCTAGCTAAGCGTAAAATTATCGAAGATGATATCGCAAACAGAGAGACGGTTCTTCCAACGCCTGAAATACGTCGCAAAATGCTCAAGTCACGTTTACCTATACACGCGCTGCATTTGAAACAGAATACATCAGCTAGTGAAAGTACTAGCTATGGAAATACGGTTGATCCAAATCTATCTAATGGTGTTCTCCCTGAAGCTGAAAGTGAAGACAATGTAAGTAAGGATAATGAAACTGAAAACGACGAGACTCAATCTCATATCGAGGTAAAAGAAAAAGAGTTACTAGAGACTATAGCGTTGTTTAATGAAACGCAGAAGGAAGAAGATGACTCAAACGATGAAGAGGAAAATGAAAAGGTTGACAATGGTAGTTCTATATGCAAGCAAGATACCAAGGAAGAAGCTGATGGGGAGCAAAAGAAGGAAGGTATGCCTAAAAATGCTACCCTTTTCAAAATAAGAAAAAAAGCTTTTTCCACATTTTTAAATCTTTTGTACCTTAAAAAATTTGCAGAAATCAATATTCTGGTTTTGCTGAAGGTTCTAAAATGATTATAGAGTATCGTAATGTTTTCTCTACTTCTTTCACGAAACGCAGCCTTATGAAAGTTGCGACGAAAATCGTGATCTAGGACCAGCAGTTGTTAAAAAACATGACGCTTGAAACGGAATATCATTATTTGCAGCATCTGTTATTCCCATGGCTATCGTCGCATTTTTACCTCTTGAATTTTTAACGTCCATTCCATGTTTTGCAGATTTTGCAATCATGGAATCAAACCTATATGATAGTTACTTCAAAGACTATATTACTGAATTAAGCAATTCCTACAGTTTTTGCGATCAAGTTATTTGATTATTTCTATTGTTTCCTATTGCAAACATCATTCTTAAATCCATTCAAAGTAGCCAGCTCACAATTAGAATTTGTTACTTTACCAGATTTTACCAGTTTGTGTCAGGGAAATGCCTTACCTTCACACATCATCCAAGACTGTAATTGACTCGAAATATTTAAATAGATATGTATATCGGAACACCTTTCCTTTTAATTTCACAGTTATGAAAAAAACTAACTGAAGTCCTTGCTTTTTTTTCTATCGTGCTCCAGGTTTTTAAAGCTTTCCGATTAAAAGCTCTATTGATAGTCCCTTTCAAGGTCAATTATTTTTTTCTTGGTTGTTAGGTCATTAAGGCCTGTAAACGATCGTTTGATAACATTGGCGACAGTATAAGTAACAATGGAGTTCCGAGACCGCAAGCGCAAAAATTCTTATTACAGAAGTTTTTCAAGCTTGAGTGTTTTAAAAGGTCAAATGTGCATATTCCAGATTTGCTTGTAGTCAGTGTTGAAACATTTCTAGATTCATTATTGAATGATCCCCCTTTTTTTAGAGATGGCAGAAAATACTAGCTTGACGATTGTCAAGTTGATGACGTGGTTCCAGTCTTAATCATTCCTTTTCCATTGATGTTTTGAATTTCGATGTTAAGTTGATGTCATTTGCTTCTTGTTACATTAAATTCAAGGATTTCGATAGTCTGGAATATGATCATCAAAGATGAATCAATGACCTCAGAGGAAATTTGAAATAGGGACCTACCAGCAAGTCTACTCAATCATCTAAAAATGAAAAATTTCGGGAGTCCACAAGATGGTCGTTGTCGTGCTTCTTGAGAAGTTGTTGCACTCTTAACCCCTTCTTCTATACGCCTGCCTGTCTCTGAGATGTTTTATTGGCCGTTAACCTTAGAAATTCGAAGCAAATTCTTCACGTTTGATTCGTTATAGTCAGTAACTAATGTTTTTATTTTCCACAGAAGAAGAACCTAATTGGGAACTAGATCTGGAAGGTCTTGATGATAGTGAGCTTGACGAAGTAAGTATACAGCTGTACTTATAATTTGGACGTTCCAAGTTAGGCGCCACTTACCTTTTATTAGCTGTAATCATGTTGAAATCAAAGAACGAGAAGTCATGTATTTTTGGGTATCCCTGATAGGAGTTATAACAGAGCCACAAAAAGAATCGTAGCTTGCCAAAAATGTTCAAAGTGTATCGTTTTAATTCTTTCAGTATCTTTCATTAGGTGTTATTCCTTTACGACTTATTTCTTTTTTGTCTAGATGATCAAGAAGGGAATATGATCTGCTTAATTTTCATCTACATGACTTGATTTATTGATCTTTTCTATTTTCATCGAGCAATTTTTTTTTTAAATATTGATCTCTTCGTTTTTCATAGTGTTTGTTAGGTGAAAACGAAGTGGAGATACGAACCAAAATTTGGATGGAGGAAAACGGAGAATTCATGGAAAAACTGCGAGGTATTTTAATGCATAAGATCTTTCAGTGAAAGTATCTACTGTGGTTTCTAGAATATCTTTCTAAGACCTTGAAACGATGTGTTCATTCCATAACTTTTAAAATGTACATTTAATGCTGTTAAAGCAAATCAAACTTAGTTAAAATATAGGCAGGCCTAAATCAGGTGATGTGGTAGTGAACGTGAACTTTGTAATTTAAGCCATCTTCCACCAACCCCCCCCCTCCCCCTCTGGTCCATTTTAGTGTTCTTAGAATGCCTCGCATCGTTCAATGGGATGATGATTATAGTGAACAATTCAACTGCAATTGTATTTCATTCTTGCCAGTATTATTCGAGTCATCTGTTTCACTGCATCACAATGTGAGTTTTTTATTTGCAGAAAAAGAAGAAAAGGCAGCACTTGAGCTGGAAGCGAAATTGAAAACTGAGGTGAGCATTTTACCTTATACCTTTTTTGGTCTTCGACGGTCCTTCCAGTCTTGCATTGTATCCTAACACTCTTGTTTGTCTTAAGCTTATGATTAAAGGTCGAAAAAGTTTCCTAAATTAAATAAATGATAGACATATTGAATGCTTCAGTCATTACAGAGCTGCCAACCCTCAAAGTTTGCAAGGGGAATCTCAGTTGATCATAATTTTATGCAAAAGATCTGACCGATTACTTCTGGACCTATTGGTCACTTCAGAAAGGTCGTAAAATCTCAGAGACGGATTGATTAAAATCTTTCCTAAACATGATTAGTAATAATAAGGGAAACTGGAACTATTGTTGGAAAATTTAATCATCCTTGTTTAAGTGGCAAAACGTATAACAAATAGCTTTCTTTCTTAATATCCTAAAAAGGATCTTGCCACCTTTTTTAAGGTAAAGATCACTGATTCATACGGGTGATTTGATTTCTGCTCGTAGAAGAAACTGTTATACGATCCACCATTTATAGTAGGCATAATCCTAGATACACCATTTATTACCAAGCTTTTCAAAAATGACCCACTTACTAAATTCATAACCAGAATTTGGTAAGTTGAAGCGTTTGTATTTTGCACAGGGTACCAGGAAGAAGAGACCAAAAAAGAAAAAGAACAAATTAGCTGCCGACACTGCAGATGAAGCGATCAAGACGATGTTGGCAGAGCGAAAGTTGTCTTCGAAAATCAACTACGATGTGTTACGTGACTTGGCCGCGGAAGGTGGCGTCGATATTGCGAACGCAACTAAGAAAGAGCCGAAGCTTGAAGGCGACGAAGCGAAAACCGAAGTTTTAACAACAGTTTATGAATCTGGACCTGTTGAAAAGAAGTTAAAGTTCCGTGCTGGTTTCAAGAGGTAATGAATTGTTTTCCAAATTTTTACTTAATGTCATCGACATTAGGCTAGGGTACTGGATCGTGACAAAGCTGCATTGAGGTACCAAAACTGCATAGATTACGCAGTGGCGTAACAGAGGCATCTTTGACCTCTAGGACTTCTATCTACAAATTGAAACGGGACTTCTATCTACAAATTGCAAGAAGATTCGACCAAAAGGCATATAGAATATTATCGAGCAAAGTTAGATGCGAAATGATAATTTTTATCGTTACCTAAGGGAAGCTAAGTTTTGAAAGGAACCTGAACTTGAGCGAAGTATTTAAAACATGGATATGAAAATATATTGGCGCCCCTTTGACTGGGGGCCTTTTTTAACGAAAGAAGGTGCCATAAACTGCCTTACGCCACCGGGAACACCCACAATTAGTCTTCAAATTAAGGAAAACCTGTAGTTTCTACACTAGGAAAGCAGACAGAGGGCACTGATCTCTTGTGTTGGCTGTCAAAAGTGTTTTTCCTCCCTTATTTTTCAATTTTGTTTAATAAGCAAATAAGCTGAGTTTGAAAAACAATGTTTATTTATGTTTGCCTTCAATTTCACACTTTTTCAAAGGGAATAATCATTTATTTGTTAATAAAGTGTTCAGCTTGAGACCGAAAATTCAGATTCAGATGTTTAAAATGTTTACCCTTCAAGTCAAATTTGAAATTTAACAGATTTTAGAAATACACCTAGAGGTTTTAAACAAATAAATTGTCAAGCTTGTAGTCGAACGGAGTGACTCGTCACTGCCTGTCAAATGAGCCCTTTATAGTTGAGAACTCCAATTGATAGAATGTACATGTTATACTATTTGGAAGTTTATGCTCTTTTGTGTGACAGTTTTTATTCTGAACTGTTAAATCAGTTTGCAGATGAGCGCAAATAATGGAGATTATATTATATTTGCTAAGCAGAATATCCAGTATATATTCTGCTGTCTTTTGTACATTTCTGCATCGCTTCGATTCTTCATTTCCTTTATTTTGCGTTACAGGCAACCAAGCATCCAGAACATTGACGTATTAACAAAAAGGATAAAAGTAAGATTATTGAAATACTTCTGTTTTATAGTTTCATCTTTTCGGAAAAAGTATTATTTTTTTAAAAGCTTGAGTTGTTTCTCGCGTAAAGAGCTTTCGTATGCCTATGCAGCCCTAAAATAGCTCAAAGCATTGCGTGATAGTGCAGACATTTTAAGCGCGTATTCCAATAACCTGTATTGAGCTCTGAACCTCATTCGCAGACCGAGGCTATGTCATCTACACCAAACAGTGCTGCTGTTTCATCAGTCAAAAAGGAATCTGAGTTTAAACCAACGCCACTTGCCAAAAAACAAGAAGAGATTAAGGATCAAGTACGAAAGGAAGAGGTTAAAACCGATGCTGTCTTGAAATCAGCAATTGTGGAAGAAGGCCCAGTCATGGCAGGAGGTGAAGAGCTCGATAACGAGGTTGAATCAGATGAAGAAGCTGACGAGCAGCATATCAGTGTATCCCAGCTGTTTGGGCGTGGCAATGTGGATGATGGTAAGATAAGCACCTTTGTTTTTGTAAATATCCTTGAAATTGCTGTTTCACCTCTTTTTGACCAAACGGGGGTAAGGTTTGGGCGTGGATGGATATGGAGTTGGTCTCAGATCAGAGCTGTTGATTCACGACAGGCCTGTCAGGTAAGTACGCACGGGGAGACTTTAATGACACCGCCTGCACAGATCTGAGTTGCAAAGAATGAAAGTTAGTCTCAGAAAAAAGTATATTTTCGAGTTTTCGCTTAATGTGGGTTTAAAGTTCGTGAAAATCTCGTTCGTGTGTACAGAAATAATATGTTAAATGGGCTTCTTGCTTATTTGGCATACATTCCCGGTTGTAAAATAATGTGAAGGATGAATTCTTGATATATAAAATTGCATCGAAAGTTGAAATAACTAAATTACTTAAAAAATTGATGAAATATGGATGCCAATGATTTAATGTGATTATGAATAAAACCAACACTTTTCCTGTTAAGCTGGGGTCATCCTAGCGCTAATTGCACTTCGTCTCTTAAAGACTGGTGATTCTCTTTTTTTTGCAAATTGCATTTGCTACAAACTTGATTTTTAGGCTTTGCCGATGATGGTTATGAAAGATTTGATGAAGAATATTTCTGAAAGGATTTTATGTATGTATTTTGTACAGTGGCACATAGAATGTTGTATTTATGCTCAAAAAATCATATAGCGAATTGTTGCACACCATATTCGTTTGTTTCTTATAAGTATTTACTGGTTTCGTGAAAAAAGATTTCTACAAATATCTTAGTGAAGGAATATATCCATTTATAAATTTTTGACAGGCACAATTTATATTTCAATAGTGTTGTAGCTTTATTGTTATTGTACTTCAGCATTTTTACTACTAATTTTTTGCCTCTTTGAAACAGGGTTTTAATATCAACTAACATTGCATAATTTATACCAATTGCATAATTTACACCAATTGCATAATTTACAATGACAGTTTCTGCAGAGGCAGCCTTTTCTCAATAAAAATATTGACCGGCTAGCGAAAATCGAATTTCTGTTAAAATATTTTTTTTATAGTTTTTTAAAAATTCTATACTTCACTAGCTTGCGGCCAAATTAATGGACAATTATGACTTTCCTTTTACTGCCAAAGGTCGAAAATGTACAGCACCAAATGGAGATCTATCATTCTAATAGTCGGGGCGCTACGGGTTCGAAATTAGGTGTACACTGGAAAAATCTGCGAGCAATTCAATTTCTTGATAAATGCATTCCTTGCTAGTTAGTGGAAATTGTGATATTACTTTTGAACTGAATCCAAATTTTTTTTATTCTATGATCTCCGGTCCGACGGCCATTGTGTGTTTGGAATTTTCGTGCGAAATCGAGGCTTTCTCGCTACTTCCTTATTTAAACAGCCGGAGGTTGTAGCAATATTATGAAGAAAAAGTTGTCAAAATATTGGCGTAAAAAGAACAACCTATAGAAAACAAGTTTACAATACCGTTCTTTTGCTTTAATTGGCTAAATTGATACGAAGTTGCGTAAAGTTGAGAAAACAATCGCTTGTGGGACATATCCAACTCCCCCGGTTGAGTTCGTCTTTTATGTCCATAAGGAAAAATTTGTCTTTCAGGCTGACATGGGAACTCATTTAATTAAGCATTCTGGAATTTATTGTCAAATAAAACTTTTATTTATGTGGAGGAATTTTGATAGTTTTATTTCTCTGATGTTGGGGGGGGGGAGGGGGAGGGGGGATGTTGAGCTTCTGGTATTAAAACGGCCAAAAACTATATAACTCGGCCAAAAATCAGTAAGGGTAAAAAAACGCTAACATTGTTTGTCTACGCAAATATAAAATTGCACTTGAATACCTGTTGATGACCATCAATTCGATATTATAGAGCTTAACAAAACTAGACTTAACGAAAGTGGCTGTGACAATTATAGAAATGACAGGGACACTTTTAGAGGCGGAGGAGATACCTATGTCTATGTCAGAAGCACTCTATCACATCAACAAAGAGCGAAAACTAAAAATATTAGAGGTCGCGGCTACACTAAGGGCTTTTAATTCCTCTGTGGCTGGCAATCTTTTTTGTTGGATGACCCACTTAAGTAATTTGAAAGTGCCAACCGTTGAAATTCTCATCAGTAAGGTATTAGGTATGTTGCAAACCTAATAGTAAATTGCCCGCAAAAATTTCCAGTGTGAAACCCCGTAACGCTCTAACTATAAAGCAAAAAACTATGAAAATTTTGCTTTTATTGGCCCTCTTTTTTTCGCAAAAATTGTACGCATATAGCCTCGGAAAATTTGTCATTTTTCACTAAAATTTTTCTGCCATTCAGAAGTTCCCATTTACTGCAAAAGTTCAGCAATATGAAAATCCTTGTCGAAAAGAATGCATTTTTAAGCAAAAGAACTCCTTCAATAGAGTCGAGAGCTGATTTAAACGTATTTATGCTTCATTTAGGATTGATTGAGGCAAGTTTTGGATAAAAAATTTCTCGGTGAAAAATCGCGTATTTTGGTAAGGCTATAGCCTTGCCTTTTTTACTGAAAATCCTTATAAAAAAGACTTCATTTTTTAGGCAAAATATCTCATTCAATATAGTCAAGAGCTGATTTAAACGTATTTATGCTTCATTTAGAGTTGATTGAGGCAAGTTTTGGATAAAAAAGTTCTTGGTCAAAAATCCCGTATTTTGGTAAGGCTATAGCCTTGCCTTTTTTACTTAAAATCCTTGTCGAAAAGAATGCATTTTTAAAGCAAAAGAACTCCTTCAATAGAGTCGAGAGCTGATTTAAACGTATTTATGCTTCATTTAGGATTGATTGAGGCAGGTTTTGGATAAAAAAATTCTTGGTCAAAAATCGCGTATTTTGGTAAGGCTATAGCCTTGCCTTTTTTACTGAAAATCCTTATAAAGAAGACATCATTTTTTAGGCAAAATATCTCATTCAATATAGTCAAGAGCTGATTTAAACGTATTTATGCTTCATTTAGGATTGATTGAGGCAAGTTTTGGATAAAAAAGTTCTTGGTCAAAAATCACGTATTTTGGTAAGGCTATAGCCTTGCCTTTTTTACTGAAAATCCTTGTCGAAAAGAATGCATTTTTAAGCAAAAGAACTCCTTCAATAGAGTCGAGAGCTAATTTAAACGTATTTATGCTTCATTTAGGATTGATTGGGGCAAGTTTTGGATAAAAAAATTCTTGGTCAAAAATCGCGTATTTTGGTAAGGCTATAGCCTTGCCTTTTTTACTTAAAATCCTTGTCAAAAAGAATGCATTTTTAAGCAAAAGAACTCCTTCAATAGAGTCTAGAGCTAATTTAGACGTATTTATGCTTCATTTAGGGTTGATTGAGGCAAGTTTTGGATAAAAAATTTCCTTGTCAAAAATCGCGTATCTTGGTAAGGTTATAGCCTTGCCTTTTTTACTGAAAATCCTTATATAGAAGACTTCATTTTTTAAGCAAAATATCTCATTCAATATAGTCAAGAGCTGATTTAAACGTATTTATGCTTCATTTAGGATTGATTGGGGCAAGTTTTGGATAAAAAAATTCTTGGTCGAAAATCGCGTATTTTGGTAAGTCTATAGGCTTGCCTTTTTTACTGAAAATCCTTGTCGAAAAGAGTACATTTTTAAGCAAAAGAACTCCCTCAATATAGTCGAGAGCTGATTTAAACGTATTTATGCTTCATTTAGGATTGATTGAGGCAAGTTTTGGATAAAAATTTTCCTTGTCAAAAATCGCGTATTTTGGTAAGGCTATAGCCTTGCCTTTTTTACTGAAAATCCTTATAAAAAAGACTTCATTTTTTAGGCAAAATATCTCATTCAATATAGTCAAGAACTGATTTAAACGTATTTATGCTTCATTTAGGATTGATAGAGGCAAGTTTTGGATAAAAAAATTCTTGGTCAAAAATCCCGTATTTTGGTAAGGCTATAGCCTTGCCTTTTTTACTGAAAATCCTTATAAAGAAGAGATCATTTTTTAGGCAAAATATCCCATTCAATATAGTCAAGAGCTGATTTACACGTATTTATGCTTCATTTAGGATTGATTGGGGCAAGTTTTGGATAAAAAAATTCTTGGTCAAAAATCGCGTATTTTGGTAAGGCTATAGCCTTGCCTTTTTTACTTAAAATCCTTGTCAAAAAGAATGCATTTTTAAGCAAAAGAACTCCTTCAATAGAGTCTAGAGCTAATTTAGACGTATTTATGCTTCATTTAGGGTTGATTGAGGCAAGTTTTGGATAAAAAATTTCCTTGTCAAAAATCGCGTATCTTGGTAAGGTTATAGCCTTGCCTTTTTTACTGAAAATCCTTATATAGAAGACTTCATTTTTTAAGCAAAATATCTCATTCAATATAGTCAAGAGCTGATTTAAACGTATTTATGCTTCATTTAGGATTGATTGGGGCAAGTTTTGGATAAAAAAATTCTTGGTCGAAAATCGCGTATTTTGGTAAGTCTATAGGCTTGCCTTTTTTACTGAAAATCCTTGTCGAAAAGAGTACATTTTTAAGCAAAAGAACTCCCTCAATATAGTCGAGAGCTGATTTAAACGTATTTATGCTTCATTTAGGATTGATTGAGGCAAGTTTTGGATAAAAATTTTCCTTGTCAAAAATCGCGTATTTTGGTAAGGCTATAGCCTTGCCTTTTTTACTGAAAATCCTTATAAAAAAGACGAAGACATCATTTTTAGGCAAAATATATCATTCAATATAGTCAAGAGCTGATTTGAAAATGTATTTATGCTTCATTTAGGATTGATTGGGCCAAAGTTTTTTGGATTAAAAAAATTCTTGGTCACAAATCGCGTTTTGTTGAGTAAGCGATCAAGCCTTGCCTTTTTTACTCGAAAATCCTTATAAAGAAGACTTCATTTTTTGGCAAAAATATCTCAGTCAATATAGTCAAGAGCTGATTAAACGTATTTATGCTTCATTTAAAAGGTAAAGAAAGGTAGATTAAGAAATAGCGGACGCAATAGATGCGAGGCCTGTGATTGAGGCAAGTTTTGGATAAAAAAGTTTCTTGTCAAAAATCGCGTATTTTGGTAAGGCTATAGCCTTCGCTTTTTACTGAAAATCCTTATAAAAAGACTTCATTTTTAGGCAAAATATCTCGATTCATAGAGTCAAGACTATTTAAAACGATTTATGCTTCATTTAGGATTGATTGAGGCAGGTTTTGGATAAAAAAGTTTTTGGTAAAAATCACGTATTTGGTAAGGCTAATAGCCTTTGCCTTTTTTACGTGAAAATCCTTATAAAAAAGATCTCATTTTTAAGCAAATCTCATTCAATATAGTCGAATAGCGTAATTTAAACTGTAATTTAATGTGCTTATTTAGGATGATGAGCAAGTTTTGGATAAAAAGATTCTCTTGGCAAAAGATTCCGATTTTGAGTAAAGGGATAGCCCTTGCATTTTTTCACTGGAAAACCTATATTAAAGATATAAGCTATTTTACGGCAACACTATATCTCATTCAATAAGTCAACGAGCTGTTTCAAAGCCGGGCTATTTATACTCTTACACTTTAGGATTGGGGCATAGTTTTGGATAAAAAAATTCTGGTCAAAAAATCGGTATTTTGGTAAGGCTATACCTTGCCTTTTTTACTGAAAATCTTATAAGAAGACTTCATTTTTTTGCGCACAAAATATTCTCATTCAATATAGTCAAGAGCTGATTTAA